GTACATTTGTATTTTTTCTCTCTGCTTTCCTTCCTTTCTCCTGCATTTTATCTTTCTCACTCTACTTTTCGGAAGCTATCAATTTCAGTTCTATTATTGAAGTTGCTGTTAAACTCTTATCATGCTTCGTTTAATGAAGGCTGAAATTAATCACTGATCTCTCCTTTCTCCTCCAAGCCTCAGTCTTTCAACTGTACTCGCCCCTCCATCCTGTTGCTGGTTCAGCCTTGGTATCTGTGCACCCCAAGTTGGTCATTATTATTAACATTTTATAGACACTGTGCTTTTCAGATGTTTCTCCATGTTTGCCAATCTCTGGGCTCACAGTGCTTCTTGCGTTTCACCTCTTCCTTCCAAATCCGATTTTGTTCTTCCTCAGTACACCCTTTAGTAGTGTTTTCAGGGCAGGTCTGTTAGTGCTGAATTTCTGTCTTCCTGCAAATGTCTGCACTTCGGTCTCTTCCTTGACCAGGTGGGTTTAGACAGAGATTGCTGATGGACACCTATTTCCACCTAGCACTTTGAAGGTATTATCCCCTCACCTCTGGTTTCTGTTCTGATGAGACATCTGCTGGTGCAAGATCTTAACCAGCATTCCTTTGTGGGTGGCCTGTCTTTACTTTCTAGCTACTTCTATAATCTTTGTTTTTATTCTGTAGATTTACTCTGAGGATTTATCTGTCATGCTTGGCATTTTGCCTTTCAAGTCTGAGGATTCAGGTCTTTCACCAGTTCTGGAAAGTTCCCAGCTAATTTCTAAGATTGACTCCCGTTTGTCTAGTCTCTCCTTCTCAAACTCCAGTGAGATATGCACCCTGCTATCCCCGTGTGCATCTCAGACAGGCCCTCCTCGTGATTTCTGTGGTAGGCAGAATTCTAAGAGGTTCCTAAGGTTTCTGCCCCTGGCACATATGCACTGTATAACCCCTTCCCGAGTGAGAAGAACCGCTGAATATGATGCCATGGTCACTTCCTTGATTAGGTCACATTAGATGATCAAGGTATCAGGATGTGGCTCCCATTATTGCCTTATATTCTGCACAACTCCATCTTAGCACAATGCGGTGAGTTTCCTCCACTGGCCTTGACAGAGTGGCTGCTGTGTTTAGGGGCCTGTGAGCTAAGATCAGCCCCTGGCCAACAGACGGCAAGGAAGTGGGGGCCTTAGCCCCCCAACTGCAAGGAGACAAATTCTGGCAACAATAGGGAGCTCAGAAGTGGATCCCTCCCCAGCTGAGCCTCTGGATGAGAATGCAGCCCAGCTAACACCTAGTTCGCAGCCTAGTGAGAACCTGAGCAGAGGACCCAGCTGAGACAGACCAGAATCCTGACCACAGAAACAGCAAGAGAATGACTGTGTGTTGTTCTAAGCTGCTACGTCTGTGGTGATGTGCTGACCAGCAGCAGCTGACAGACACACTTCCTCTGCACTGGCCTTTACTTTCTCTCCTCCTGCTACAGGGCTTTATGCATTTTGTCCTTGCCATGTGGAAACCTGTTCCTTCCGTGGGCACTTACTGAACTCCTGCTTATCCTTCAGAACTCACATAACACATCCCACCCCCAGGAAGCCTTCCTGACCCTGTCTAGATCAAAGCTCCTTTTTACAGACTCAAAGCCCCATGGACACATCTTTATTTTCAAGGCTTAATTGTAGCTGTAATTTTAATTTATTTTGGGTCTCTGCCACTAAGATTTAAGCTCTCTGAGCTCAGAGAATCTCATCTACCTCATTCAGGGCTGGGTACTCAGCACAGAGCATCCAGGCCTGGCCCGTCATAAATATCAGATGGGTAGAAAGCCGAATGAATAGTGCTTCTATATTCGATGCTAAATAGCATTGGGCCCCTTCTGTGCCCTAATGACAGTGATGACAAGACAATTCGGAGAACACAGGAATCCTTAGAAAACCCACAGGCTTGGCGGTGGGGGGGGCGGGTAGCAGGGGCAACTGGGGCTGAATGAATATAGTGTGTGTGTTTGGTCGGGGGAGTGTCAATGAGCTCATACACTAAACTTGAGTTTCCAGCCCTAATCACAGAGGTGGATCTTGGTGTCTTTGTCCCTAAAACATTTCATCAAGCGATTCTTAGAGATTCCCTGGCTCCTCAGAAGGCAATTCAGCTGAAGTGTAAGAATAAAGGGGTAAGTGTTATACAGCCTCACTCCCCACCACCCCCGTGCGCGCATCGCCCCTTTCTCACCAGCTCCAGATGGTGCCAGTGAGGCATGGAGTGGCCATTCCCAACAGGGACACACTCCCTTGAGGATGGAATATTTTGGCTGGGCCCCGGCATAGGATTCCAGGCTTAACAATGAACATATAGCACAGTCATGTAAATCTGGATTTCAAATAAACAGCAAATACTTTTTTTTAGTATAAGGATGTCCCAAATGTTGAACAAGACATATGAAGGACTGTATTAGTGAGGTTCTCTAGAGAAACAAAACCAACAAGAAGGAGAGCGGTATTTTAAGGCTCACACGACCAGAGGTGCTGGCAAGTCAGAAGTCCCTGAGCAGACTGGATACCCAGGACAGAGCTGATGCTCCAGCTCCAGTCCCCAAGGCCGTCTGGAGGCAGACATCTTCTCCTCCGAACGCCTTCAACTGATGGCATGTGGCCCACCCACAACAAGGAGGGTCATCTGCTCTACTCAACCTCTACTAATTTGAAAGTTAATTACATCGGGGGGCGCCTGGGTGGCTCAGTCGGCGAAGCGTCTGCCTTGGCCTCGGGTCATGACCTCAGGGTCCTGGGATCAAGTCCCGCAACCAGACTCCCTGCTCAGCGGGGAACCTGCTGCTCCTTCTCCCCTGCTTGTGCTCTCCCTTGCTCTCTTTCTCAAATAAACAAAATCAAAAAAAGAAGTTAATTACACCTAAAAATCAGCTTCAGGGCAACATCTAGAATAATGTTTCACCAGAAAACCGGGCACCATAACCTGGCCAACTAGACACGTAAGACTCACCATTCCAGGGACAAATTTATGCCACAGAAGTATGCTTCGTTTGTCTGAAATTCGAGCGCACCCGGTGCTTCTTCCTGAGACCCCGGCCCGCCATTCGTGCCCGCAGGTCCCCGAAGCGGCTCTGCGACCCCCTGGGAGCCGTCGGCCGCCTCCGCCCACCGACTCGGGGGGCTCCCCGGGGCTCCCTCTCTGCGGCGTCGTGGCGCCCACGGCCAGAGTCCGGCCCGCGCAGACAGGGTGCGGGAGCAGGAGATCCGCGGACTGGGGGTCGGGGAAGGGGCGGGGCGGTTGGCGGCCGGCCTGCTTTCCCAGAACCGCGCGTCCCTGGAAGAAGGTGGGCTGGCGGGCCGCACTCTGCGCACCTGACAGGCGAAAGCCAGAGGCCGGCGCCGTGAGGCCGCAGCTGCTCTTCATGCCCCGCGGCCTTCCCAGGAAACCGAAGGGTAGCAGGAACTGCGCCTGACGGACACAGCCTCGAGTCCGGTGCTGCAAGCTTGCCAGAAGGCCTCGAGGGTCCTCTGCGGGGCGTCTCGCGGGAGCGCAATCAAAGCCCGACCAAATGCGACCCCCCCCCCCCCCCCGGTCTCGGGTCTCGCGAGACTGCGATCAAGGCCCGGCCTAGTGAGTCCCCAGCTCAGGTCTCTCGCGAGACTGAGATCACGGTCTGGCGTAGTGTGGCCTCGGCGGGGCCTCTCGCGGGATCGCGAGCAACGCCCGGCCACATGGGACCCCCCCCCTCCCCCGGTCTTGGGTCTCTCGCGAGACTACGATCAAGTGGCGACCTCGAGGGGCCTCGGCGGGGTCTCTCGCGGGACCGCGATCAATGCCTGGCCTAGTGGGACCCCAGCTCGGGTCTCTCGCGAGACTGAGATCAAGGTCCGGCCTCGTGGGACCCCCCCCCCCGGTCTCGGGTCTCTCGCGAGACTGCCACGAAGGGGCGCTCTGGACACGTGAACACGAGGAGCACATGGCTGCTCCCAGTCCTCTAGGAGCTGAGGCCCTAGTGAAGATCAGTGCCCCGCGTACTGGCAGCGGAGGAGGGCAGCGGCCTGTGCCTCCGGCGGGGATGCTAGCGGCCGCGGGTGGTCACATAGAGTCCAGGGCCACGCAGGACCCCGTGGGCACCCGAGCTAGCGCCGGAGCGTGCTCCATCGGGTTCGCTCTGTGTCCGCGTTTTCTGTGCGGTCAGGCCGAACGGCGGCCCGAGACGTCCCCAGTCCTGGTCCCGGGACCTGGGACGTGTCCCCTCACCCGGCAGAGGGGACCTTGTCAGGGTCCCCGAAGTGAGGGTGACCCTGGGTTCCCAGGGGGCCCGGCGTCCTCACGAGGCCCTCACGAGGGGGAGGCAGAGGGTGGGAGTCCCAGAGATGGGCAGACCCTGCGCTCCTGGCGGTGAGGATGGAGGGGGGCCGCGGGCCAGGAAGAGGCCGGAGCCAGGTCTCCCTGGGGACCCCGGCGGCGGGGGGGCGGGGGGGGGAACCAGCCCTGCCCTGCCCTGCCCTCCCCTGCCCGCGCTGGTGTTTTAGAACTTCTGAGCCCAGAACTACTCAGTAATAAATCTGGCCTGTGGTGATTTGTTACAAGCGCCACAGGAAAGTCGTGCATCCCTCCTGGCGGTGGACCCCAGCGGCCCACGGAGCCCACATGCACAGGCCCAGCCAGGTGTCCCACTGAACCCATGTTTTTTGTGTGTTTTGCTTTGTTTTTTTAAGATTTTATTTATTTGTCAGAGAGACAACACAAGCAAGGGAAGCGGCAGATGGAGGGAGAAGCAGGCTCCCTGCTGAGCAGGATGCTGGGTTCTTGATCCCACCTGAGCTGAAGGCAGACGCTTAACCGAATGAGCAACCCAGGCGTCCCTGAACTCGTGTTTGTCACTGAGACAGGCACCTGGGGCTCCGTGGAAGGCTGCCACATCTGCACAAGTGAAACCCTTGCTTAGGGGACAAGAAGCATCCTCCAGCTCTGATCTTGTTTTTCGGTCCTTTCTTGCTGGCGTTCAGGTGGCCTTCCCTGTGCCTAGGAGCCATGGAACCCACAGCGGGTGACTTACAGCTTGTGCCTGGGGCAGCAAAGGAAGTCCCAGCGCCCGACGCCACGTGCTGCCGTGTGGCCCTCTCCGCTGTGGTGGCTACCAGCATTGTCATGGTCACCCTGGGAGTTCTCATGGGTAAGTGGCTGTCGGCTTGCACGGGTTCGCACACCAGGCGACTTGCACAAGGATGCTTAGGAGTGGCTCGGTGTTATCCATGTTATGATCCCAGAGTCAAAGGGCTGAGCTTGCAGGCATGGGATTGAAGGCTGGCCCTCAGGCCACCAGGAGATAAGTCAGGCAGGCCAGGAGCCTGGGCCTGGTGTGCACTGGGTGGCGGTCTGGGGTGGGTGGGTGCATGGGTGGGCCAGGCACCAGGTATTCACATTTCCCATGGACTGGGCTTTCCCAGGAAGTTTTCACTGTGGGGTGAAAAGACAAATAGGGACAGTGAAATGAATTATTTTAAATATTGAGAAATTTGAAAAGTACTTAGACTTTTTGAAGTGTGAAAAATGAACAGTGGGGTGCCTGGGTGGCTCAGTGGGTAAGCGTCTGTCTCTTGGTTTCTGCTCAGGTCATGATCTCAGGGTCATGAGATCGAGCCCCATGTCAGGCTCCACGCTGGGTGTGGAGTCTGCTTGAGATTCTCTGTCTCTCCCTCTGCCCTGCCCCCCCAAACGAACAGTGGTTTATGCTCCTACAGTTCACAGTAGGTAATCGTACTCTTTAGGGTGAACCATACAAAATTGGCATCTCTATACAATGTGGGACTGCGGTTGTGAAAATAAACAGAGGAAGCTCTCTTTATATCTCAGTAGAATGATCTAGAGATGCCTACGTTAGAAAAAGGGAGAGGTGCCAAACAGCAAGAAAAGAAAACATGTCTGCCTGTGTGTATCACTGTGTGTATCACTTTTTTCTGGAGGGAGTTTCAGAGCCTAAGTAACCGGTTACCTCTGGGGAGGACAGCATATGGTGGATCACAGGAGGGAGATTTGTCAGCAGATGCCCTTGGGTGGCTTTGGATTTTGAATCATGTGGATCCATTATACTCATTCACAGTGTTGTCTTGTTGTAAAGTATAAAACCGATCACTGCAGAGGGCCACGGCCTCCCTCGGTTTTCCATGTGTGTCTCTGTGGTTTACAGCCCCGCAGGTCTCCACACACGGACACGTTTCTGGAGATGAGGTCTCATGCTGTCTTGTGAGAATTCGTGAGGTGACAGCAGGGTCTGCATACCCTTTGGGGACTTGCCCCTCTCCTTCTACTGCGAGTCCTAGATTCCCCTGTGAGACCATGAGCCGTTTCCATTCTTAGCCACCACATAGAGCAGCTCTTCCAGTGTTGTCTGCCTCATTGCTGCTGGGGATGGTGGGCCTGAGCCCTGGGAGCTGGTTAGAATTAAAGCAATTAACATTAAATGGTATTTACAAGTCAATTCCTAGGGCTGCCTGGGTAGCTCAGTCAGTTGGGCATCAGTCTCAGTTCAGGTCTTGAGCGCAGGGTCATGAGTTACTCCGCGCCCAGCATGGAGCCTACTTTAAAAAAAAGTCAATTCCTCGTCCCCACCAGCCACCTTCACGGGCAGCTCATGGACACCACACTGGACAGTGCACATCTAGAACATTCTGTCATCACAGGAAGTTCTGGGCAGCACTGCTCTGGAACAGGACTATTCTGAGCTGATAAGCTTCTTACAGTTTTATTTGGGGATGTGAAGGTCACCTTTCATTCATGAAATAATGATAGTAAGTGGCAGTTTGAGAGAAAATGTTCTCCTGTGGCAAAACAGTAAGTTGGCAATTCTGCGTGGGTTTCTTTGATTTTTATACAGAGTACGTATGTCTATTTGTTACGTATTTTTTAAAATTTTTATTTTATTAGTCACTATACAATACATCATTAGTTTTTGATGTGGTGATCCACAATCCATTGTTTTCGTGTAACACCCAGTGCTCCATGCAGTATGTGCTCTCTTTATATACATACTTATGGAACATCTGGAGCATCTCGCAGCCTGGCGTGACTGACAGAGGCCCCCTGATGACTGTGGGAGTCAAATGCAGGAAAGTTTGTGCTGTGGGTGTGCGCACATGCGAGTGAGCGCATGTGTGTGTGCACGCACACACACATGTGCGAATGTCCTCACACTAGGGGGAGGCAGGGGCATCCTAGAAGCACGCACACATATTGAGAACAACATAAATACAATCCCCATCAGGACCCCTGAAACTAAGGAAGGCTTTAAGGAACATTTACACAGTCTTAAAATTGTTTAATTAAAATGTATCCCCTTTTCACATAGCTCAGAATTTTAGTTGGCGATGTTAGCCTTGAGGGAAGCTGGGCATCAGGCACACAGGACCTCCCTGCTATTTCTGAGCTTCCCGTGGGTCAGTCATTATTTTAGAGGGAAAACAGGTTTAGTTGGGGGGAGCCCAGCTGGCTCAGTCCATGGAGCGAGCGATTCTTGATCTTGGGGTTGTGAGTTCAAGTCCCACGTTGGGTGTAGTGATTACTTTGGGGGGAGAAAAAGAAAGACTTAATTGGGATACGGAGCATAGACACTTTGGTCTCCACAACAGGGTGCTCGTTTCTATTGTGAGCTTCTCAAATGAGAAATCAAACTATGTTTAGAATTGGCTCCAAACGTGTATTCTACCATATTGAATAAACAAAGATCTAAATATCTACCTAGACGAATATTCATTCACAATACATAGAATTGGGACCCAGCTTTTACGATTTATGTGGCCGCTACTTTCATTTTTTTTTTAAAAGATTTTATTTATTTACGTGACAGAGACACAGCGAGAGAGGAAACATAAGCAGGGGGAGTGGGAGAGGGAGAAGCAGGCTTCCCGCCGAGCAAGGAGCCCGATGCGGGGCTGGATCCCAGGACCCTGGGATCATGACCCGAGCCGAAGGCAGATACTTAACGACTGAGCCACCCAGGCGCCCCTCATTTTTTTTTTAATACCGTAATTATGGTCATTTTTTTGCTAGCGTGTCATTTTGTGAGCTCTAACATATTTTCAACAGAAACCCACGTTTTCGGTGGTTGCTATTGTATTCTTTATTTTAAAACTTTTTTTGATTCTTAGTCTTGGGTATCGTGTACTTTTTGTGACTGGAGCAGAGCAGGCGTGGGTCACGACCTCAGCTGTAGGTGTGCGGCAACTGGTTGGACAAGTCTGCAGGTTGTGCTGGGCTCGCCCGCTGTCCGCGCCACGCGGCCCTCCTGCAGGTTCCCTGCCGCACGCTCACTGCTCTGCACCTGCTGTGCGCCTCCCCACCTGTGTTTATGGGTCTGAGTCTTTGATGTTGCATGCTTTGACACTGTTTCCAACAGTTGGAAACCCGTGTTCTTTCACAGGGTGGCATCATGAGACTGGCCCCGGGGTTGTGGCTGTGATGAGGCCCCTGTGGCATCTGGTGGGAATTGCTCCAAATTGGAGGGAGGGTCTTCTGAGGCCATTTCAGCCACTTAGGGCTGAAGCCAGCTTCAGGCCCTGAGCCAGGCACACCTGGTGAGACAGGGGTGAGCAGGAGCCAGTCCCATCCTCAAAAAACCAGGGACGTCTGGGCGCCTTGAGGTGGGTGATCATAGAGTCTGCCATCGAACCCAGAACATGTGTGAGACGTGAAAGGGGGCACTGCTGATGATCATTCAGGGCCCCCCAGGAAGTCGGCCCACCAGCTGTTTGTTGGGGTGATGGCCCTGGGTGGCTGGGGGCCTTTGAGGCTGACTTAACTGCACCCTGACCCCGAAGTGGGGCTCTCTCATGGGGCTCTGGTCTTGTCCGCAGCCTTCCTCTCTACACAGGGTGTCGACGTGGAGCACACGGCTGCGCTGCAAGGGGTCCATTATGCCTGCAGCTTGCAGCAAGAGACCTCAGAATACTACCGCACGCTGACGCCCACTCTGGAAAGGCTGGTGAGGGCAGCCAGGGGCTGTGTCCGGGCGAGCAGAGCCAGGGGGGCACCCAGGCAGGCACTGAGGCAGGGAAGAGGGCACGTGGGGCGACACGGCTGTCGTGGCTGGCGCTGGTGGGCTCTGGAATGCAGGGGAGGGTGGCATCGGTGGGGGCTGACCCCTGCTGGGCTCGTAGGTACGTCGAAAGGTTATAAGTTGTAGTCCATTGGCGAGATCAGAACCCGCACACAGGGCTGGTGGGAACAGGCAGGCAGTTGGTCAGGTCGAACCATTTCCATAGGGTCCAGCAATTCTGTGTGTAGGTGTCCACCCAAGAGAAATGAAAGTTCACGTCCACACAGAAAGCCCTCACATCCGCGTCCACAGCAGCAGGACTCGTAAGAGCCAAAAGGTGGAAATACCCAAATGCCCATCGATGGGTGAATGGATAAACACAAGGAGGTCCATCCACGCGCGGGAGCATCCCTCGGCCATGAGAACAGGCGCCCACACGCGTGGCCCCGGGGACGGACCCCGAGCCCACGATGCGCAGGGAGGGAGCCAGACACAGAAGGCCACACGGGTGTGAGTCCACGTGGGTGACACGTCCAGAACAGGCTCATCCGCGGATGGGAAGGGGGCTCGGGTATGACTGTTAGGGGAGATGGGGTTTCTTTTGGGCTGATGGAATGTTCGGAAACTGGTCACGGTAATGGCTGCCCACCTCTGTGAACGCACTGAAACCCATCTGGTCTTACACTCTTAAAAGGTAAGTTGTAAGTTAGGTGAATTACATCTCCACTTAAGAATATATTCTATTTTTTTTTTTTAAAGATTTTTTTTATTATTTATTTGAGAGAGAGAGAATGAGAGATAGAGAGCACGAGAGGGAAGAGGGTCAGAGGGAGAAGCAGACTCCCTGCTGAGCAGGGAGCCCGATGCGGGACTCGATCCCGGGACTCCAGGATCATGACCTGAGCCGAAGGCAGTCGCTTAACCAAGCGCCCAAGAATATATTCTAAATTTCATTCTCAGAGAAGCAGGAGGGTCACTAGGTGAGAAGTCACGGTTTGAAAGGAGCACTCTGCCTGTGGCCGGGAGGCTGTATGGTAAGACATGAGAAAAGCAGGGCGGCATTGCTGAGTCATCACCGTCCACACGGGGGTCAGCACACTTTTCCTCTAAGGCCAGACAGGCAAGATCTTTGGCATCTCGGGCCAGACACTCTCCGGCCCAACTACTCAGCTTGGCCTGAGGCATCTTGAGAGGTGCCACAGAGGACAGGTGAATGAGCAGGTGTGGCTCTGTGCCAATAAAACTTTATTTGTGGACAGGGTGTCTGGGTGGCTCAGTCGTTAGGCGTCTGCCTTCGGCTCAGGTCATGGTCCCAGGGTCCTGGGATCAAGCCCTGCATCCAGCTCCCTGCTCAGCGGGAAGCCTGCTTCTCCCTCTCCCCCTCCCCCTCCTTGTGTTCCCTCTCTCGCTGTATCTCTCTCTGTCAAATAAACAAAATCTTAAAAAAAAAAAATTTGTGGACACTGAAATACACATTTCAAATAATCTCCATGTGACATGAAATACTATTTTTCTTTTGATATTCTCCAACCATTTAAAAAATGGAAACACCATTCTTAGTTTCTGAACTGTACAAACATGGGCAATGATTTGAATTTGGCCCGTGGTGTTAGCTTACTGATCTCAGTCCCATACCCTCAAGCATTGTCCAGAAGAAATAAAACAAGCCCCATGCATAATTTAAAATTTTCTAGCAGCTACATTAAGGAAAAAATGGGGGGCACCTGGATGGCTCAGTCATTAAGTGTCTGCCTTCGGCTCAGGTCACGATCCCAGGGTCCTGGGGTCATGATCCCAGGGTCCTCAGCGGGAAGCCTGCTTCTCCCTCTCCGACTACCCCTGCTTGTGTTCCCTCTCTCGCTGTCTCTCAAATAAATGAATAAAATTAAATAAAGTCTTCTAAAAAAAAGGTAAGTTTAATTTTAGTAACGTATTTAACCCAGAACATCCAAAGTATTAACATTTCATGTCATTGACATAAAGCAGGTATTGAAGAGACTTTTCATACTCTTTTTTTAATGTTTTGCATTGAGTCTTCAAAACCCAGTGTGCATTTTGCACTCACTTCTCAGTATGGATGCTAAGTTTTTATCAGGAATACCTGATTGATACGTAGATTCCATAACATTTACGTACATAAGTTGCTCCAAATATACTTAAGAATTTTCTGGTAACTGGAGTATCTGTTTTAGAATTTAAGCATGAATTAACTAAAATGTAAAAACCAGTTCCTTTGTGGTACCAGCCGTGTTTCAGAAGCTCGGTAGCCTTGTGTGACAGTGGCTGGCACGTGGGGCAGGCAGGTGGAGAATACTTGCTGAAATTTGTGGACTGTTCTGTGGGCCAGCAGGTCTGAATGCGAGCAATAGGGACATGGACTTGGAGAGTAGAAATAAGAAAAACAGGTTGGAGGGAATTTTAGGAGGGAGAACTGTGTATTGTGAGCTTCAGAAGCAGGCACGGTGACAGAACACTGACCATGAACAGGAACACCGTCCGTTAGTAACTCCACTGGGAGAGTAGGTAAATTGGGACATCCTTTCACCCTAGGTATAGGTCACAGGAGGTGCCAGGGGGACTCAGGAACCCCCAGCCTTGGCGCTGCTGGGGACAGCACCTGGAACAACACCCATCCCAGTTCCCAGGACAGGAACCCTTCAGTACTAAACCTGAGACGGTCCTAAGAGAAGTGGACAGTAGTCACTTGAACACCACAAGGAGGATAAGCAAGTTCTAATAGCATCTGTTTGCGCAAAGCAGGATTTTCTTAATGTAAAATTCATGTAAAATAACCATTTTTTAAAAAGTTTTATTAAGTGATCACCCGATGTGGGGCTCGAACTCACAACCCCAAAATCAAGAGTCAAATGCTTGGGGTGCCTGGGTGGCTCAGTCGTTAAGCATCTGCCTTTGGCTCAGGTCATGATCCCAGGGTCCTGGGATCGAGCCCTGTGTTGGGCTCCTTGCTCAGCGGGGAGCCTGCTTCTCCCTCTGCTGCTCCTGCTTGTGCTTGCTTGCTCTCTCTCAAATCAATCTTTTTTAAAAAAGATGCTATACCGACTGAGCCAGCCAGGAGCCCCCAAATTAACCATTTTTAAAGTGAACAATTCTGGCATTTAGTGTATTCACAAAATTGTGCAACCATTACCTCTGTCTAGTTCCAGAACATTCCGTCACTCCCAAAGCAACCCCATCCCCATTAGCCATCACTCCCTGGCCCCTGGCCCCCACGAGCCCCCTTCCCGTCCGTGGGTGAGCCTGTTCTGGACGTGTCACTCGCGTGGACTCACACCCCGTGTGGCCTTCTGTGTCTGGTTCCCTCCCTGAGTGTCGTGGTCTCGGGGTCTTTCCCTGGGGCAGCGCGTGTGGGCACCTCATTCCTATTCATGTGGATGGACCACATTTTATCCATCCATCTGCTGATAGGGCAACATTTTCATCCAAATAACTTCCAAGTGCCCTTTCCCTGTCATTTACACAGCTCTGACTGCTGTGTGTACGGAGTGTGAGAAGGGGTGCTTTTCCATGTCCTCTAGCTCTGCATGTACACGGCAGGTCCCTGCGGGATGGGCGCCTAATCCGTGGTCTCAGCATGTACTGCTGTTGTTTCTGTTGCAGTTTGTAAGCAGCTTTCAGAAGACAGAGTTGGAGGCCAGCTGTGTGGGCTGCACCGTGTTAGGTTACAGGTGAGTCAGGGCCTCCCCTGGGTGAAGGAACCCTGGTGGACACCCAAGAGATTCCAGAAGATTCCAGCAGGAGCCCTCCCTCTCCAAGGGCTTTTCTCCTACCTGCAGGGATGGGAACTCCAGTGTCTTCGTGCATTTCCGTCTACACTTCTTGCTGCAAGCCCTGCAGTCACTGAGCTTGGGCCTGGAGAAGGAGCTGTTGCAGCAGGGACTCAGAGCAAGGCTGCAGGGGCATGGTATCCCCCTGGCTGCCCATGGCACCATTGTGTCCGCTGAGCTCACGGGCAAGTAGCCAACAGATGCTGGAGGAATTAGGAGGCGGCTGTGGGAGAGGAGACAGTTGAAAGTTGCAGTAAACTTTAGGTTTTCCACAGTTGTTGTCTCTGATGAAGAGTAAACACGTGCACAATACTTTACCCTCAGGGGTACAGAGCAGGTAACATCAGCCTGCCCACAGCCAGAGTGTAAATGCTTTTGTCTTTGCAGCCCATTGGGTCTCTGTTGGGACTACTCAACTCTGCTGTCGTAACAGGAGGGTTAGAGACAGTACATAAATGGGCACAGTTGTGTATTGATAAAACTTTATTTATAGAATTAAATGGTGGGCTGCATTTGGCCCACAGCCATTGTTTGCCAACCTTGGTGTAGGAATAAGAGTAAATGCTATGCCCTAAAATCTGATGATGCAGATTCCCTATCATGTACCAAAAATTTCACATGAAACCTGATGATGTGGTGCATCATGATCTGAGAGCCAGATGTGAGTTCAGTGTGTCATCAAGTTAAAAATTGATGGCCTTGACCCTGCCCTGCAGAACATTTATGGTCCCTCCCCACCTACCCTGTCATGTTAGTTGACTCTAAGTAACCTCTATATCAGTGCTAATTGAATTCTCTGTTTCCTGCCTGCATAGCCCACTAAGGTGACCATAAGCCCCATGTGGCTCTTGAGCATGTGTCATGCAGCCAGTGACTGAGCAAGAGATTGTTTCATCTGATTTCATCTTAAATTGATTTAAGTTAGAATTTAAGTGGCTCCCATGGTGGACAGTGCAGCTCTCAGCTTTGCAATCCGATGTTTTCAAAGAACTGCGGGACTCACTGAAGGAGCTTATATCTCTTGTCTGTTTCACCACAGGAAGTCAGAAAGGGCCACTGACAGAAAGAGACTTAAAATCAGGTATGTCTTACCCTCTCCCATGGAGCTCCCTGCCCTCTGCTGAGTTCCTCTGATTGCAGTCGTGTGGAGAGGTTTCCCAAGACTTCTTTCCAGTACACAAAGGAATCCCTCATACGCAGTAAATACTGCTTTTGCACACCAGTCTCCTCCAGGGGGCCAGGAGGGGGTAGAGGCATAGTCCTGTGTGGGCAAAGGATTTAAAGATGAGACACTTTGAATTACACATGACCAAACATGAGTGAGGGAAAACATTAACAATTTTTTTTGAAAAGTGGTGGAAATCTGTTAAAAGACAAAAACAGTTTGGAAAAAAATAAAAGTGAGTGCCACACAGAGTCCTCAACTAGGGGTGATCCAGGCCCCAGGGGACACTGGGTAGTGTCCGGGGACTTGTAAGGAGTGGGGGCTCCTGGCCATGAGTGGGTAGGACCAGGAGTCCTGCTCAACCCCCACAGAGAACAGTCCGGCCCCAGATGTGAACTGTATACTTAAAATGGTTATAGCGTGGTAAACTTTAAGTTGTACATGTTTTACCACAACTTGAAAAGTTCAATTTCACCTGTATCTTACTTTAGAAAATTGTGGGTGCTGGAAAATGTGGGAGTACATGTGGTATGCCTACATTTTTGTTGCATAGCCCTGGTCTTCATGCTGACCGACATTCTTGTGTTATGTCTCCATACTAATTCAGAGAAAATTATTTCAGAAATGTTCAGGCCTAAAAAAGTAAAAAAGATGTTTTTCCATGCTCCTGAGGCTCTGAGTAGACAGTGGCATCTTGCTGCAGCCAGGAGAGATGGAGCGGGAATCAGGAACTTGGTTCTTTTTTGCCCTCAGGTTACTGTCCAGGGAACACCTTTTCCTGCCAGAACAGCCAGTGTGTGACCAAAGTGAACCCGGAGTGTGATGACCGAGTGGATTGCTCCGATGGATCTGATGAGGCCCACTGTGGTCAGTCTCCTATCTGGCAGTCTCTGGGCCATGTCCCTTTCCAGGGTCAGCTGCTGGCTCTGCTCCCTGGCCCACTGTGCACATCACATATGGGCACCCAGGCCCGGTATTCACTGTGGCTGGGCTGAGAAAAGCAGGGGGCGGGGGGTGGGCGGGCACCCATGATATGGCTGAACAGACAGGTCCTCACCAAACTCTGGGAAGCCTCAAATGCCAGGAAGTGGAGCTCTGTCCTATATGCAGCGGGATCTGAGCAAGGGAATCTTAAAATTAAAGTGCTGTAAGAGTAGCCAACACTTTCTAGCAATGCTAGCCCACACACTAGGGTAAGAGCAGCAGTTTAAGTGTGGAAAGGAAGAGGGAAAACAATCCTAATTTGCAGTGGATGTGATTGTCTATATAAATGAATTTATAAATTGACTAACCAGCTGTTAGAAAATAAGTTCAACACAGACGAGAGTAAGACGAACATCAGCAAAAGCTGTTATGCTTTATACAAGTAAAAACAGATTAGAGGATAAAAGGCAAAAAATCCCAGTTGTGATCAAGAGCAGCAAAAAATAAACATGTCAAGCCTATAATGTTACAAAGAATTATAAAACTTCACTGAAGGACATAAAAGCGGACTAAATTGAGACGTAGCATTTCACAAAAAGATGTACGTATGAGAATTTTGAAACTTGCAAAATACATGGTGAAAGAGACATTTGTAGTGCGTGGCACCCGGATGTGAAGGACGATCTGTGGAGGCTGATTGAAATTGGCGGCTGTGGTCGGCGTCCGCAAGGCCCCCCTCAAGGTCAGTGATTCACTGGAAGGACTTGCAGAACTCGGGTTCTCTGCACGCTTACAGCTTCTTCCAGTGAAAAGGTCATCAAAGGAAAAGGCGCACAGGGCAGAGTGTGGGCAGGACCGGGGGTGACCCAAGTTTCCTGCTGCCCTCTCCCAGCCCTGAACTAACTGTCCCAGCAGCAGCATGTCACAGCACACACACAGTGTTTCCAGTGTAGGGCAGCCTTGGTGTCCAGGGTCTGTCCTGGGGGTTGGTCACATGGCCATGTAACACCGGCACAGCTCACTTTATGTAGGAGAGTCCCAGAGCTGCCAGAACAAAGTGCCGTAAACGGAGTTGCTGAAACAGTGGAAATGCCCCCTGTCACAGTGCACGGGGCTGGAGACCCGAGGTCAAGGTGTCCGAGGGTCTGGTTCCTCCTGAGCTGGTGGAGAATCTGTTCCTGTTTCTCTCCCAGCTTCTGGGGTTTGTTGGATGCCTGGCATTCCTTGGCTTGTAGAAGTGTCATCCAGATCTCTGCTGTCATGTGCACATGGCCTTCTCCTTGCGTGCATGTCTGTGTCCAAGTTTCCCCTTTTCAGGAGGACACCAGTAATTGGATTTAGGGCCCTCACTCATGACTTCATCTTACTTGGATCATCTGTGAAGACCCTATTTTCAAATAAATCACATTCACGGGTACTGGGGGTTAAAACTTCAACATCTTTTCGGGGGTCGCAACTCAGCCCATAACACTTAGTTTGCGGCCCCTCCAGAGGTCAAGTGGATCCCACGTGGCCCAAGGCCATCAGTCATACTGTAGCATAAACTTTCTGGGCAACCTAATGCCTCAGGTAGACAAAGCTGCTTCTATCATGCAGCATTCCAGGGGCTTAGAGAGTTCCTCCCAGGAGGTGGTCAAGGGCCGACCTTCTTTGAAATGTGCAATGTTTAGACAGCCCGGGGCTGCTGAGTTCACTGTTTACTGCATGGCAACATGAGCTGCGGTAGAGACAACAGAAGGAGGGTCCCGTGGTGGGGAGGAAAAGGAGGAAAATGCCCACCAGGCAGCTAGAAACACAAGAAAGCAAGGTGTTGGCCCTTTGGTTTATGAGTTAGCACAACCCCAAATCAAGTCAAAAGTGTAAAGTTCCTACCTGGACCTAGCCTTTGGCCATGAACCATGTGACAGATGTAATACGGTTTCATGAAGCTTCATGAAGGCCACCGGTGCTTGAGGCAGAGAAAGGGTTCTTGGTCGGAGGTGTTCTTGGCCACTCCCTGGCGCATGCAGTCTTTGGGTGTTTGACCTTTGTCGGGCAGCTGGAGATGGGGCAGGAGGGGACAGGGAGATCCCAAAGGAGTCAGCAAAGCCAAGTGCAAGGGGTCTAGAGCATCTTTCAACAAGTGGGCCGGGGGATGAGAGATTCCGCATGGACATGCTGGGAGCATGGTCGCGGCCCTGCCTTCTGGGGCGCCTGGTTGGTGACCTCTGTCTTGCAGACTGCGGTCTACAGCCTGGCTGGAAGACGGCTGGCCGGATCGTGGGCGGCATGGAAGCGTCCCCTGGGGAGTTCCCGTGGCAAGTCAGCCTTCGAGAAAACAACGAACACTTCTGTGGGGCTGCCATCGTCAGGGCCCGGTGGCTGGTGTCTGCAGCCCACTGCTTCAACGAGTGAGCCCCGCACCCCTTGGTCCCACCTTCCTTCCCACTCTGGGAGCACCCCCTTTCCTGGGTCCGCAGAGCCCCATGGAGCTCTTTTCTTTTCTTTTCCTTCTTTGTTTTTTGTTGTTGAATCTGAATGTGTTCTTGTTATTTTTATTTTTAAAATCATGGTAAAATTTACAGAACATGAATTTACCACTTTAACCCTTAGAATTCAGCGTCATGAAGCACCCTCACACCATCGTGCAGCCACCCCCACCCTCCGTCTCCAGAACTTTCCATCTCCCCACACGGAGACTCTGTCCCCGTGAAGCACGGACTCCCCACCCCCTGCCCCAGCCCCGGCTCCCACCCTCTCCTCTCTGTCTGTGTGGACGGGACTCCTCTGGGGACCTCCTGGGAGTGGGGTCCTGCGGGCTGTGTCCTTCTGGGTCTGGCTCCTCTCACTGAGCCCGATGTCCTCAGGGTCCCTCCGAGTCGTGGCAGGTGTCAGGGCCCCTTCCTTTCTTCTTCAGGCTGAATAATGATGTTCCATTACACGGATATACCACGTGTATCTACTCATCCGTTGCTAGATATGGGCTGTTCCCACCTCTTGGCTACTGTGAATCCTGTTGCTGTGAACAGGGGTGTGCAAACATCTCTTCAGGACTCTTCTTTCAGTTCTTCTGGGTATAGACTCAGAAGTGGGATTGCCGGGTCGTCGGGTATTCCGTCCCTCCAGTTTCCCATGGGGGCTGCACCGTTTCCCACCGCTGCCAGCCGTGTGGGAGGCTCCAGGTTCTCCACATCCTCACCAACACTTCTTACTGTTGAGCTGTCTTAGTGGGGTCACACTGTGGTCATGATTTGCATTCCCTGATGACCAGTGATGTGGAGCGTCCATTTGTAGGTCTTCTTCAGAGAAATGTCTGTTCACGTCCTTCGCCCATTTTTGAACCAGGTTGTTGCTTGTCCTTTTTGAGGATGGTCAGGGTCTTTAATGAACCAGAGTGGCCGATCCCAGAACGGAGCTGGTCAAAGGTGGGAGAAGGTTCTAGAAGCCCTTGCACCAGGCATTATTGTTTGGTTGCTGCAGTCTGCGGAGTCCTGGGGAGAGGGCAGGGCAGCAGTACCCCGGGCTCCTCAGAGAGACCACTGCCCACCGACTACCCTGTGGGATGCTGGTGAGCCTGAGTGCAACCTGCTGTCTGCCTCGGGGTGACAGTCTGGGGCACAGATGTCAGAAACAGGGACAGCTCAGGACAGCAGGAGTTGGGAGTTTTCCACTTGAAGTTTTATTCCTCCCATATGTTATTAGGGCAGTATTTAAGCAGATAGAAGAGGTAGAAACAGTACACCTGTGTACCTGTTCCCTGATCTCGGCAAGTGATCATGTTTTGCCGTGTTAGGGCTGGTTCCCGCTGCCTGCCCCGTATCTGGACCTTTACGTGCATCCGTGTGCACACCTTTCTTTGCCAAACCGTTTGATATCCCCTCTGACTCTGCTGCTCGTGTCTGCACAAATAAGGGAGGGTCCCCCGCACGCCCATAATGCCGTCGCATGCCCACACCGCCGAGGGAAGGGTCGGCCACACGCTGTCCGCCAGCTTCTCCGTCCGTGTCCAGCTTGCCCCACTTGTCCTGAGGGCCTGTTACAGCTACCTTTGCTTTTTTCTTTTTTACTCTGATATAAATAACGTAAAATTTACCATTTGAACCATTTTTAAGGCAGTAAGAGTTTTGGCTTTGAGCTGAGCAGAAGGGTTCATAAAGATACCGGGAGAGGGTGGGTGAAGAGGGGAGGGCTTTGTGAAACAGAACCCAGCTTGTCCCGTGTTTCTGCCGGGAAGTGTGCTGTTTGTTGACTGACTGTGGGGCCCATGAGGCGCCTCGCAGGGCCAGGATTAGGGTGAGGAGAGCGAGGCACTCGCTGGGGGTTGGGGGGCGAAATGTAGGGGTCGCCAGGAACAGACATCGTGACGAGTAATATCTTCATGTTGTGTTGCAAAAAAATCAAAATGAGTGCAAAGAAAAAAATCAACAATGAACGGACTATCCAGCTATGAAATCGAGACCAGACCTGACAGGCCAGGGCTCGGGGGAGGGGAGCAAGGTGAGCGGAGCCAGCGCAGGCCGACCCCATGCTTCCGTCAGGTGTCCCTGCTTTGTTCACCATGGGCCTTTTGCATTCATTGAGGTGTTTTGCTGCCTGGTCTGTGGTTTTTGACGCCCCCTTAACATTTTGTACCCAGATCTGTCTTTGGCTAGAGTGTTGTCCTCAGTGCAGGATGGGTTTCTTTTGCATTTATGTTCACTTTTGACAGTGTTGCGTGGAAATATCAGTTGTGATGACTGGGCTTCAGGGCGCCCCCTTAATGTTCGCTCCCCCCCGGGAGAGTGCCTCCCTCACCTCCCGCTGCTGCCTGTCCCGTGGGTGGGCCTCTGAGCTGTGGTCTGTCTGTCCTGCAGGTTCCAAGATCCGAGAGAGTGGGTGGCCTACGCGGGCACGACGTACCTTAGCGGGGCCGAGGCCAGCACGGTGCGGGCGCGCGTCGCCCGCATCCTCCCGCACCCGCTGTACAACCCAGACACGGCCGACTTCGACGTGGCGGTGCTGCAGCTGGACAGCCCCCTGCCCTTCGGCAGGCACGTCCAGCCTGTGTGCCTCCCTGCAGCCACGCACGTCTTCCCGCCCCGGAGGAAGTGCCTGATCTCCGGCTGGGGCTACCTCAGGGAGGACTTCCGTAAGTGCCGCGCTTGGCAGCTGGGCCACGAGCATGGGGAGATCCAAACACAGCCCACCTCCACGGTCCTGATTCTGTGTTCCGAGCGCACCTGCTCAGCGGGAGGTGTTCACAGCCCCAGATGGGTCCTCGGGGTGATCTTGTGGTCTTTGGTGTGCATGTGAGGAGCGTGCTTGCCACCTTATTGTTTCAGCTCAGACCAGAAACCAATGTCCTTTTTTGCCTTTTTGTGCATTCTGAGGGTGATTTCTAAAAGGGCCCCAAGACTACAGATGGGGTGCCGGCCAGTGTTCCTAAGTGCAGGAAGGCTGGGGTGTGTCTGTTGAATGTGTGTTAGATACACTGCCTTCGGGGTGAGTGACAGTGCCGTTGGCTTGCATTCAGGTGAAGGACTCAACGGTGTGCATTAACTATGGCGCATTTAGACAGAAGCACGCGTAACATGAGGTTGCGTATCTGTCGGTTCTCGAAAATGTTGGGACCAGAGGCTCGTAGAAAACTGTCCCATGATCGTCCAGAAGCCATGCTTCCTACTTGCTAATTCGGGGTTCGCGGTGACTTCACAAAACGGAACTGCCTCGGATGAGAGCTGACTGTCATGTGATGGGATGTCGTGGGGAAACCGAAATGGGCTGGGGGACAGCTGTAGGGAAGGCCCCAGGACAGGGATGCCTCAGGTCTGACCTGCTGGAGGAGGCAGAGCCTCAGGGAACAGGAGGGCGTCCTGCAGTGAGAATTCCCAGCGTCGCGGAAAGTTCTATTGGATGATGCCATCTGGAACGTTCTAGAGCAAACTATCCAACACATATACTAGCCCCAGGCCAGCTCAGCGGCTGTGTGGGTTTTCATGGACAGTGCGGGGAGTGGGGAATGCCCTAGGGCCCGGGGCAGCTCTACCCTGCATAAAGGGTCTGGGGATCCAACGTGGCTGACTTCCCTCGCAGGGCCCACTGCCTGTGTTCTGGGGTTTTCCCGGGTCTCTTTCTACCTGACATGAAAGAAAGAATGCTGGGTGATTTTTACATCTTCTGAAAAGGAAAGGTATTGGCCACATGGACCTAATTAGCAGGGAAGACGATCCAGACACATTCGAGCCTCCCCAGCTCACCGAGTGCTTGTCCAGGGGACTGGGCAGGAAGCAGAACAGTCTCCCCGTGTGGGGCTCAGGCCAGACCAGCACCATCCAAGAGCACTTTCCCTGGGACAGCCGTGCTTTACTAAGTCTGTGTCACCTGCTGCAGGAGCCACTAGCCCCCTGCAGCATGGCCTGTGTGGCTGAGAAATTGAATTGTGCGTTTTATTTCATTTGAACGCATTTTTAGATCTGCATTTAAGTAGCCACATGTGGCCAGCAGCTACCATTCTGGACAGCACAGCTCTAGAGGGGAGTAGGTCGTAAAGATGGCAAATGGGGATGGACACAGTGGAGGAAAGTAAGGTAGGGATGGGGTGGGGGCTGCAGCTTTAACTAGGTGGTCAGGAGGGGCTTCTTAAGAAAGGAGACGAGGGAGGAAGACCGGTAGATTCTGTAGAGACAACATTCCAGGCAGCTGGAATGGCACATGCAAAGGCCCTGGGGTCAGTGGTCAGACTTGGACTTTTTCATTTGAGCGGGGGGTCAGGGGGAGATCACCCCAGAAGGTTTGAGGAGAGGGACCACATAATCTGATTTCACGTAAATCAGCTGGTGTCGGGCTAAGGAGCACTTTCTGCAGAGGAGAACAAGAAGAGCAGCAGAGGGCTAGTGAGGAGGGCTCAGGCAGAGGGGTTTTCGGGGGGAGATGAGGTGTTAACTCGGGTGCCTCTGCTGTCCGGACCAGAAGGTTACAGGTGGGCCCTTGTAGAGCGTGGCCTCTGCCGGGTTCTGAGCTGGGTGCTGAGCAAGCCCCTCCTGGCGGGGGATGCGGGGTCACAGCAGACACGTCCCGCAGCTTCCGGGCTCATCCTGCTGGTCTCTCCCTGTCCTGGGCAGTGGTGAAGCCAGAGACGCTGCAGAAAGCCACCGTGGAGCTGCTGGAACAGGGCCTATGTGCCAGTCTGTACGGCCACTCACTCACCGACAGGATGGTGTGTGCCGGCTACCTAGATGGGAAGGTGGACTCCTGCCAGGTGAGCCCCGCGGCCCACACCTGCCCCACCGGCCCCAGGGGACGGGGTCCTCACAGCTTCCGGTCCACCACCAAGACGTCCCCTGCTCGACGCTCAGTGCGGCTGCGGATTTCCTTCCTTTTGGTTCATCCCCTTGGTCTCACCTCTAAAGCTGGATGGGGAGAAGGTGGGGAGAGAGCGCTGCAGGTGCTCGGGGAGCCATATCCAGACTGGAGCCTGGAGAAGGCATTGGGAACGATGGAGGGGAGCCTGTGAGGACGTGAGTGTCCCGGTGAGCCGGGCGTGCGGAGAAGGGGAGGCACTGCAAGACAGGGGTGCAAGGCAGAGCGGGCACTCCGGGAAATGCTGGGGCCGTTCTGTCCGCCTAGGTGAGCGCAGACACCCCCACAGATCTCGTGGGCTGAGGGGAGGAGGGGGTGTTTATCTGGGGTGGGTCTTCAACTGCCCGTGGTGGAACTGGAAGCGATCTTAGACATCGCGTTGAATTTTTACAGAAGAGAAAGCGGGTTCTGAGATGTGGACTGTTGGCCTGCCTCTGCTTCGTGAGCTCGTGGGCAGACAGGTCTCAGAAGTCCCGGGTGGGGCTCCTTCTCTGACTCTGCAGCTCTGGGATTGGGGCTGGCTGTGGCTGGAGCCCCGACACCCTGGGCCTTTGTCTCCTAGGGTGACTCAGGAGGTCCCCTGGTCTGTGAGGAGCCCTCCGGCAGGTTCTTCCTAGCCGGCATCGTGAGCTGGGGGATTGGCTGTGCGGAAGCCCGGCGTCCCGGGGTCTATGCCCGCGTGACCAGGCTGCGGGACTGGATCCTGGAGGCCATCACCATGGTGAGCAAGCCTCTGGCCCCCACCGTGGCTCCTGCCTCCGCCAGCCACAGCACTGCCTGGCCCGCCAGTCCCGAGAGCCCGGTGGTCCACACCCCCGCCAGACCCACACGGGGCCCCAGCACGGCACCTCCTGACTCAGTGACAGCCTCTAAGCCACAAGGTATTTGCTGGGGGCACAGGCGGGCATAGATGTCCACTCCCTGCAGGGTTGGATTGATCGGTACTGTGGAGCAGGTGGGCGATCGGCTGGTGATATCTGCCGTGCACCGGCGAAGGCAGACTGACATCCGTCAGACTGTGTGGCCGGGTCGGGCAGTGCATGGGCTCTATATGGAATGTCCTCACGGGTCAGCCGGGGGCTGGTGACTTTGAGCTGTCCCACTCAGGGCTCCTTCCAGACACACCCCCCACATAAATGTACACAGACGATTTATATCTGAGAACCCACGTTTCTTCTTTTTTTGTTTTTCAAATTTTCCTGCACACACTTGCACGCTTCCTTTTCCATGAGACGAGCAAGATCAGCTTATCTGGTTTTTTAATTTTAATTTAATTTTATTTTATTTTAAAAGATTTTATTTATTTGACAGAGAGAGACACAGCGAGAGAGGGAACACAAGCAGGGGGAGTGGGGAGAGGGAGAAGCAGGCTCCCCGCCGAGCAGGGAGCCCAATGCAGGACTCAATCCCAGGACTCTGGGATCATGACCTGAGCCGAAGGCAGATGCTTAACGACTGAGCCACCCAGGCGCCCCAATTTTTATTTTATTTTTAATTGCTGTGTCAAACACATAAAATGGGTGGTCCTAAACTTTTCTTGTGTGTCCAGGTCAGTTGAGTTATGTTCACCTTGTGCGATGAGTCTCCAGAACTTTCCATCTCGCAAACCTGAGGCTCTGTACCCACTACACACCAGTTCACCCTGCCTCCCCCCAGCCCTCGGCCGCCTCCATGTCTGTGACCGGCTGTCCGCTCCCTCCCAGCAGCCGAGTCACGTCGGTCCTTTTGTGATGGGCTGCTTTCTCCTCTGTGTTCCTGGTTTTACACAATTAGAGTTACAGCCCGGCTTAGGGAGACTCTGTGTCTTCCCATCTCCACGATGTGGATCTTCCCGTGCGGGAATGGGATGCGTCTCTCCGTCTTGTGCGTCTCTTGAGAGGGTGTTTGCTCGCATGAGCTGGCCCGGTCCATGTGAACTGTGGCGGTGTCAGGGTAGACGGGAGATTTCTGTTGTATTCTCAACGAGTTGGCAGCCAGACGGCTCACAGAGCTGCCTCCCATGAGTTGTTCCATAAAGAGAGCAGACCTGGGCGAAGCCAGCGGTAAGGTTTGCTGGTCACCCCCTCCCCTGAGGATGCTCCGCGGGGCGTCGCGGTGACCCCTCCTGCTTTCTTCCCCACTGCAAGCTCTTCTGTGACATCGTCCAGCAGCCTTCAGTGGCAGTCACACACACACTCTTGCCCGGGGCACCTCCGCGTCTTTGGCCCCAGGAAGCTACCTTAATTACAACCTGGGGCCGAGCCGCAGAGATGGGGTTTCTGGACACAGTGGTCTGTGTCTGTCTGTCTGTCTTCTGTGGTCTCCAAGGACCCCGATCGGATGCCAGTCCTCCTCCATGGTCCCCCAGACCTGCGAGGCTGAGCCTGTTGGAACCCTGCTTCATTTAAATGTCAGCTACCCCCCACCCTGTCCCCGAGTCCCGTAGCGCCCCGGTTCCCGCAGGTCCTCCTGTGTGCGCCCCCCCCTCGCAGAGAGCCCGTCTGCCTGACCGCACGGGCCGCGGGTCTGCGTCCGGCGGGCTCGGGCCACTGGAGCCAGGGCACTCTAGGACTCCATCTCCTTTTGAACCCACCTGCCCCTGCTGCACCACATCCTTGTGGTGAGACCTTGGGCTGCCGTTCGGCCTCAGTTTCTTCATCCGAATAACGGGGATCGCAGAGCTCCCACTCCGGGCGGGCTGCGATGCCAGGACGCTCCTCTCGCTCCTCACAGCGTGTGGGGCCAGGCCCGCCATGGAGAAGCCCACGCGGATCGTGGGTGGTCTGGGAGCCGCCTCTGGGGAGGTGCCCTGGCAGGTCAGCCTGAAGGAAGGTTCCCGGCACTTCTGCGGCGCGACCCTGGTGGGTGACCGCTGGCTGCTGTCGGCTGCCCACTGCTTCAACCAGTAAGGCCCGCGCCCCATCACCAGGTGTCCCCAGCCATCCCACCACTGTGCGTGGGGGTGGCCCCTGGGCTTGGGGACGGGGGTCTGAATGTCCAGCCGCAAACCAGGGTGGGAGCAGGCAGAAGTAGGGGTTCTGGGGGCCCCGGCCTGGGCCGCAGCTCCTGGGAGGGGGGGTCTGCGGAATTGGCCTTTGGGGACAGAGAGGGCCTAACTAGAGGAGGGGACGAGGGCTCCTTCCCCTGGGCTCCAAGAGCGGCAGCATTGTGTTTGACACCCCTAAAACACCAGGGCTGCTCACTCTTGTTACAGACGAAGGGAAGGAAGCCAAAAGGGCTCCCTGCCTTGCGCCGGCCCCCCAGCCTGGACCGCTATTGGGGAGCAGCCCTGTGGCTCCTCTGTCCTGCTGGCACCCCTCCCCAGAGCAGGGGGAGCTCCAACCGGCTTCCTGGGGGCTGCAGGGGTGCCGGCAGGTGTCTGAGTGGCCCCTTGTCAGCAGCACGAAGGTGGAGCTGGTGCGGGCCCACCTGGGCACCGCGTCCCTCACGGGCGTTGGCGGAAACCCAGTGAAGATGGGGCTCAAGAGGCTGGTGCTGCACCCCCAGTACAACCCCGGCATCCTGGACTTTGACGTGGCTGTCCTGGAGCTGGCCAGGCCCCTGGGTTTCAACACGTTCATCCAGCCCGTGTGCCTGCCCCTGGCCATCCAGAAGTTCCCTGTGGGCCGCAAGTGCATGATATCTGGATGGGGTAACACGCAGGAGGGCAACGGTGAGCTCCCGGCCGGGGCCTCTGGTCCACCACCTGCAAACCACTCACCTCTCCGCTCCTCCAGGCTTGCAGACTCCTGCCCACGGGCCCAGCGTGGCTGCGTTTTCAAGTTTTATTGGCCCATGGCCCTGCCCATTCAGTTTACAGCCCGTCCCCGGGGCTTTCGTGCTGCAAGGGCATGTGCTCTGTGGCTCTTTGTAGAGAAAGTTTGGAGACACTTGTGCCCTTCTGAGCCCCCAGAGTTCATGCTAGCCTTTGAGCCTCAGAGTAGCCTCCTGCAGGCCACCCACGGCTCTAGGGAGTCTGCGGGCGGACGGTGGTGAGAGTCTCAGGCTGAGTAGGGGCCTGGGGTCACCTTCTCACTATGTGACTTGGTACGAATCCCTGCAACCTTGTGGGACTGAGGTTCTTCGTCTGTGGGTTGGGGATGGCGCCTCCGTCTTGGGGTTGCTGCACAGCTGAACCCATGTTGTGGGGGGGTCTCCTCACAGCCACCAAGCCCGACATTCTACAGAGAGCGTCTGTGGGCATCATAGACCAGAAGGCCTGCAACGCCCTCTACAACTTCTCCCTCACGGACCGGATGCTGTGCGCCGGCTTCCTGGAGGGCAAGGTCGACTCCTGCCAGGTGAGCGTCAGACCAGGTGCCACATCCTCCCACACGGCTGGTCCCCTCCTCCTCGTTCGGATCTAGGTTTCCGAAGCGCTCAGCGGGTGCGCAGACACAGAAGGGGAAGAATTGTCAATACGACACAGCGAACCGGGAAGCCTGGAGAGAACCCAGGCGTCTTTAAATGTTGGTTTAGAGAAATGTTCTTTCCAAGCAGAAGATGAGGGGGCAGCTCAGAAGTGTGTGGTGGACGCACACATAGCACAGACACACTGATTTAGAAAGACGTGCCCCTGTGTTCACTGGAGGACAAACTGATCACAGGCTGTGGTGCCTCTGACGGCCCTCGTCCCGCAGGGCGGCTGGTAAGCACCTGAGCCGTGGGTCCATCTTAGGGGACACCTGGCTCCAGAGCCACACTGTGAGAGCCAGAGAAATCCATGGGCGGAGAGATGTATAGACCAGTCTTACTTAGAAACATCGATGAAAAACCTTCAATAAATGTTGGTGGATTAACTCTAGGAATGTGTTAAAAGAAAAAAAAAAAAACACCACAGTGGGTTGGTCTCCTAAGAAGGCTGGTCTGAAACAGGAGAACCTAGTACCACCAGTCATCACATCAGTGGATCGAAGGGGAGAAGGCATCATCTCCAAAACCACAGAAAAAGGCATTTGATAATTTTTTTAAGGTTTATTTATTTTAGAGAGCTGGGATGCAGAGGGATAATCTCAAGCAGACTCTGTGCTGAGATCCTGACCTGAGCCAAAACCAAGAGTCGGAGGTTCAACCGACTGAGCCACCCAGGTGCCTCGGCATTTGATAATTTTTAACAACCATTTGTAATTACATTTTAAAAAATTGTAGCCCTATGAGAGCTAGATAACAGAAACCTACAGCAGACATCATGCTTGGTGGCAAAACAGAAGTTTTCCTTCAAACACAAGGCTTCCTGCTGTTGCCAAGCGTGTCTAGATTAATACAGAAAGTCAAGAAAAAAGAAAAGAGGTATGGGATTTGTAAAGTAGATAAAAATGTAATCTGCAGTAACATAACTGGCTACCAGAGAAGAAGAAAATAAACAAACTAGAAACGGAACCAAGGGAGAGATGAAGAAGACTCCTCAGAGTACAACAGCGTGGCTTGACACGAAAGCGGCATACAAGGTCAAGAACGTTTCTTTTTCCAGCCAAAGTCAACGTCCTCGAGAAAGGGATCCCACTGACTAATGTCCAGAACTAAACTCTAAAAGATGATCAAGGTTTTCATGGAGAAAATCATTAAACTCTGAAGAAAATAAAAAAGTCTGAATGAATGGGAAAATACACTGTATTGTTTGGTGGGAGGACTCAGTGTTAACAAGATCCGTTTCTACCCATTTTTTTCTATAAGTCAGTGCAATTCCAGGCAAAATTCCAGGAGCGTTTGCCATATGACTTGGCAAGCTGGTTTTAAAATTCATGCAAAAGAGCAAAGTAATGGCACATGACAAGGCAGGATAATTCTGATAAAGAAGAATCGGGGGGATGTGTATACTCCCAGGAACAAAATAAAAGAACCCAAAATAAAATAGAAAGTGTCAATAACTCCTATTTTTGCGTAAACAATCAGCCCAAAGCTTAGTGACCTGAAACAACAGTGGTGTATTGGGCTCGTGAGTCTGCACTTGAAAGGGCCCAGCAAGGACGGATTATCTCCTCTCCCAGCAGTAGTAGCTCGGGGGGCACAAGTGGGGCCTGGAGGATCCACCTTCCGGGTGGCGCACTCGCACGGTGGGGCTTCCTCATGACCTGGCCCCGGCTTCCAAGCGCGAGCGTCCCGAGAGAACGGGCGGAAGCTGGGTCCTGTGACCTCGCCTTGGAAGTCACATCCAGTGACACCTGCGAGGCCGCCAGCCTGCCCGCATCCACGGGGAGGACCACCAGAGTCCCGTGAGCCGGGAGGTGGGCGGGCCGTGGCCTTGGGAAAATGCATTCTGTCCTGCAAAGCGATAAAACCAGCAGTAGGAACAGAACCCAGACAACCAACAAGAAAGGAGACCAGGGAACAAGCAACACACGGAACCAAAGAAACTTCCTCCAAGTCTGCGGTTACCAACCTCAGAGACGCGCGGAGTGCTGCGTCCACCAGAGGACGGGGGACGCCGGAGGGGATTTTCCAGGGGTGGGAGAGGGAGCGCTCAGGAGCTGACGACGAAGTCTTCCAGACAGTAGAACAAAAACACGCACGGATGCCTAAGGACAAGACAGGAGCCCCCGCAGCGGAGTCGGGGACCTCAGCTTCCAGACAGAGGGCGCTCGCTCGGGTGGTGAAGGAGGAGGCAAGACCGCGGGAAGGGAGCGCCTGACAGGAGCCGCGAGGAAGACACGCGATGCCCGCAGTGTCCCCAGTGAGTCAGCCACAGAAAGTGCCGGGGCCCCCGTGGCGGCCGACTTCAGTCGTAACGCCCCGAGGCCCTGCTAATATCAGAATACCGATGACAGCGTGAGTGCGCGTCCACGGGCAGCAGCGGGAAGAAGTGGGGTAAATAGCTGCCCCCCGCTCTGCGACCCCAGGCAGGCGACTCCACGTCCCTGGGCCTCCGAGGCCTGTCTGTAAAATGGGCTCATAGTCATACCTAGCTTCTGGGGGGGGGCGGGGGCAGCAACCACAGTGCCCTGCGGAGGATCATCTCTGTTTACTTTTATATCAAATAAGTTACATAATATAGATTTTATGTGTTACTCTGTAGATAACTGATAAATTTATAATAGATAATGTGGTATCTTGAAACTGTTGACCACCGCAAGTTGCAAAAGGTTACATGTAACCTATTTCTATGAATTTTAGATAACACTGCATACTTTCTAAAATTACAGATTCACATAAAAGCATAGCGGGACACACCCCAAACTCCTAAACTGTCCGCCCCTGGGGCGGTGGGGCACCGGGACCAGCGGCAGGGCTGTGTCAGTCCCTGTGGCCACGTAACAGAACGCCCCGAAGCTTGGTGGCCTGAGACAGCCATTTCACTGCCATCCCGGGTCCCGTGGGTTGGAAGCTGCCATGGGCCCAGCGGGGCTGGTGTGTGTGTGTGTGCCACGCACGGTGGCCTCCACTGGGACGGTTCAGAGGCCGGTGTGCCAGAAGCATCTGAAGGCGTTTCTCCTTGCACGGCTGGCACCGGCTGTGGGCCGGGGTCTCAGCCGCACCCTCCACGTGGCCTCCCCGCGGGGGCTCTGCCTGGGCTCATTTCGGCTCCCTCGAAACGTGGAGCAAACTGGAAGCAAATGGCACTTGCATGACCTTGCTTTGGAAGTCACCTGGCATCATTGTCCCTGCAGTCTGCCTGGGTCCCAGGGCAGAGACAGAGCACCCCCACCCATGGGAGGAGGGCCAAGGTCTCGGTGTTCCAAGAGCGGGTCGGCCGAGAGAGAGACTCCTGCCATCTTTGGGAAAAACAATCTGCTATGTGGCCTAAGCTTTGTTGTAAGATTCCAGATTCTTGAGGAAAAGCCCTGGGTTGCTGGTGTGATTCCTTTGAAACCTAAGGGAAAAGGTTGGCGGCTAAAGAGCAGTGAGAATATCTGTGACGGTTGTTTTATTTAGAGTTTTCTGCATTTTTTTTTTTTTTACATCTTCAAAACAAAAGCAAGAACAACTGAAGCTCAGAGAAGTGACTCGATCAAGGTCACACAAGGTCACACAGCCGGGCACGGGCCTGAAGCCAGGTCTGCTGAGGCCCCCGCTGCGCTGACGCAGGCACGCGGGAGCGCCTGGCAGGGCCCCGTGTGGAGAGGGCGCCCTCGAGGTCACAGCTAGCTCTTCCGTTGGTTTCCCCGTTGTACTGAGAACCACTGACATCCGTCCCCGTGTCCGCGCCAGGGGCAGCATGGCGGTGGTCTGACTCACATCCTCCTTCCTTCACTTGCAGGGCGACTCTGGGGGACCCCTGGCCTGCGAGGAGGCCCCCGGCGTGTTTTACCTGGCGGGGATCGTGAGCTGGGGGGTCGGCTGTGCTCAGGCCGGGAGGCCTGGCGTGTACACTCGCATCACCAGGCTGAAGGGCTGGATCCTGGACACCATGTCCTTGGGCCCCCTGCCCAGCCCTCCCCTGCCCACCACGAGGCCCCCGCCCGCCACCAGGCCTCCCTCCAGGACGGCGGCTGGCCCCACGGTCCCGGGGGTCCTGGCCAGCAGAGCCACCCTCCCGGCCACCCACGGGGCGACCAGCCAACCTGCCGGCACCGTGAGCACCGCTGCGGGGGGACAGACACCACTTCCAAGCACCCCTGGCACCACCTCGGGCTTCCAGCCACCAGGTAGCAGGAGGGATGGAGGGACATGTGGGTGGCAGGGGGTCCTGCATCCGCCGTGACAACAGCAGACATTTATTCGCTCCCAGTGCTGGAGGTCGGAAGTCTGCGTACGCGCTGTCCTCTCCCCACGTCCTCATGGGTTCGTCCCTCTGTGTGTGTGTGCGCCGTCATGTTCTAACTTCATCACCTCTTCAAAGACCTGTGTCCAAGTGTCACATCCTGAGCTCCCGGAAAGGACACCAGGCAGCCCATGATAGGTCCTGAAAGCCGAGGACACAGGCTCTGATCGGGCGGCCCTGACGGGAGGGTCCCCACTGCTCTGTCCATGCAGCCAGTGTTCACCCTCCTGTGTGCGGGCCCGTGCTAAGCCTGGGGTGCAGTGGGGAACCAGACGGGGAACCACACACAGTAAGACGGCGAGCAGGAGTGAGGAAACCAAGCCGACCCCACAGGCTCCTGCGCGGGGCCCCGGGGGACGCCCCGGCTAAGGCACAGCCCAGCTCGGCAGAACAGGCTGCAGGATGCTGCCGGGCACAGCACCTGGGAGGTCTCTGAGCGCTTCTAAAGCGCTTGGTTACGTTTTATTAAGTATCAATCAGAACTGTGTGAAACACGTATTTGCGGGTCCGAAATAAAGCCCCATCAAATACATCCGGTTTCCTATAGGTCACGCCGGGGCCTGTCAGCGGGCGCTGGCTGCAGGGGAGCTGAGGGGAGAAACAGGCTTGGCTTCTGCCGCATGTGGGCTGTGGGGGTGGACCCCCGTCTTAGCGACCAGCCCACCCCTCCCGCCGGCCTTGGCTTTGAGGGGTGGGCTGGTCACCCGAGCAGAACTCAGAAGTGTTTTTGCCACAGACACAGGGCTCTCCAGAGAAAGGTGGGGTGGGGTGGGGACCAGGGGCTGGGGGGGCAGCGGGAAGGCACCCGTAGAAGCCCCTTGGCTCTGCTTCTCTGTGCACACAGCACCCCCCAGCCCCAGCAGACATGACCTCTGCGCTCTCACATCCAGATGCGGAGGGACAGTGTCTGGTCTGGCTTCATTCAGGTGGGAGGCAGGTCAGCAGGGACCAAGCAAGCTTCTGGGAGCTTCCCCCAAAGGAGGCAGGCGCTCAGCACAAGGGGCTGCTGGTCTGTGTAGCTGCACCCACTTTCCTTCTTACTGATGAGTTTCCCAGAATTCCGATGTTCTGAGTCCCCATCCCGAGCCTCCTCACTGACTCCCCTCCAGAGATTCTGATCCAGGGACCTTTCCCTGCTTTCCTCGTCCGCCAGTGTCCCTCCCCTGGTCCCTGCTGTCTTTGTGTTCAGGGTGTGTGTGGTCGAGCCCTGTGACACAGAGGTCCGGGAAAGTGCTTGTAATCCTCCGGCCTATCCCAACCTTTAGGATGTGTCCCCACGGCTTCCCTCTTCCCTTGCACACGTGTGCATGGTGTCCTGGGCCCACGAGCCTGAGCCGCCCGGGCACAGACCTGTCCCCACAAAGTCAGGCTTATGGGCTCTTGCCTCGAGGCAGCCTGCAAGCCATCAGAACCAGAGGAAGAGGCGGGTCGCTATGGGGTCTGGGCGCGTGGTGGGGGGTAGGGGACCTTGGAAGGACGCGTCTCGATTGGCCAGGGGCAAAGCCGACCACAGGCCGAGGGTCTGGGCACAGGTCTCGACTCTGAGGGGGACCCGGGTCCTGTTTCCTGGGGAAGCACAAAGTGGAGACAGGCACGGAGCGTCCGGTCCAGAGCCCTGGAAAGCTAATCTCCGAGAGACCGCTGTCCCCGGCCAAAGGGGCAGCTCCCCTTCGCGCCGCTGATTCCCGGCAGTAGCTGCTGCCGGTCTGGCCCTAGTGAGTTTCCGGCAGCGATGTGCGGAGAAGGGGAGTGTGTCTCCTTAAGTCTGCAGCTGGCTTCTCTGCGTCTGGCCTCCCACCCTGGGGACTTCCTAGTCTGATACCTACAGCCTGCAGGTTCTTAGCTTGGGGCACAGAAGAGGTGAGGAAGGCCCGCGACATGGCACGCTTTGCTGCGCTGTTCCGCGTGGGGCAACATTTCCAGACAGGAGCAGTTTCCATCCGATTCCCCAGGCCTCCTGGTCCGGGTCCTCGGGACTGAGAGGGAACTGGGAAGAAGGCCTCCCCCTTCTTCTTTCCACCTGAGGCTGGGACAGGAGGCTGGAGGGCAGGGAAGTCACCCCGGGGGTTGGGAAAGCAGGCTGGGGAAGGGGGGCCGTTCTGGAGGAGGAAGATTCCCTGTGGGAATGACCAGGCGGGTCCCCATGCGGCCCCATGGGTGGGGACGGGTTCCTGCGGCACCCGTTGAAACCACGGATTGTCCATCCTGCAGTTGTGTTCTGAGAGTGCATTTTGTTGTGGGGAGGGCGGGGGGGGGGGTGTCCAAGCTGGAGGAAGCATCCTGGGAAGGAGAACCGGGGAGGGCGTCCAGGAAGACTGGGCAGCGCTGGAGCTGCAGGGACAGGGCAGGGGCCTACTGGGCGGCAGCCTAGGGTGTGCAAAGGCCCTGGGGCAGCAGGGAACTTGGCTCCTAGTGCCCTGAGAGATGCCAGGGGCTGGACAGGGAGGTGAGAGGAGGTGCTGGCCTGACCTTCAGCCAGGAAGGGGTTCCAAATGTTATCTGAGAAGCGCCCAGAGAGGGCTCATTTACAGAACCAAGCGCGAGGTCCAGTGTCTTTTCCAGGGGAGTTTACTGAGCCAGGTCCCCCAGCCCACTGCTGGCTACTCCCACCCTAGGCACGCAGGCGGGGCTGCGAGGCGGCGTCTGTCCGCTGAGCCGCCCCCGACTCCCCCGCAGACTGCGGCCTGGCACCGGTGGCAGCGATGACCAGGATCGTGGGCGGCAGCGCCGCGGGCCGCGGGGAATGGCCGTGGCAGGTGAGCCTGTGGCTGCGGCGCCGGGAGCACCGCTGCGGGGCCGTCCTGGTGGCCGAGAGGTGGCTGCTGTCGGCGGCGCACTGCTTCGATGTGTGAGTCCGGCCGCCCCAACGCGCCGGCCCGCGGGGTTCACTGGGCCGACTTCGCGGTCGAAAACTCAAGAGTTGCCCCTCCGTGCCTTGGCCACGAAGAACCCTTCTCCAGCCACCGGCACCCCCTGCCCCAGGCGGTCGCCTCCTTTATACAGCCCTCCCCTGCTCACCCACCACCGCCACCAAACCCTGGCCACAGCCGCTCCCAACACCGGGGCCCGGCCTGCGGCGGCGAGTCTCCGGGGAGCACCGGGGCCCTTCCTTTCCTGGCTCACGCCACTGGGACTTGGCACCAGGCCCAAAGTGGCAGTCCCCTTCCTGACAGGGGGCTCTGTAGGGTGGACCAGGCTAGGGGTCAGGGCCGGAGGGGGCGGGCCCTTACGGCCACCCGACACAGCGCGTGGGGTCACGTCAGTGCGTGGGAGCGGGCGGGACCCCCGTCCCCCCCCCCCACCCCGCCGTCCTACGAGGAAGGGACGGCTCCGGAGGAGCAACCGGGCGGGCGCGGGGGCGGGGGCACTCGGGCCGACGTCTGTCCCCGCGCGGCCCGCAGCTACGGGGACCCCAAGCAGTGGGCGGCCCTCCTGGGCACGCCGTTCCTGAGCGGCGCCGAGGGGCAGCTGGAGCGCGTGGCGCGCATCTACAAGCACCCCTTCTACAACCTCTACACGCTCGACTACGACGTGGCGCTGCTCGAGCTGGCGGGCTCCGTGCGCCGCAGCCGCCTGGTGCGGCCCATCTGCCTGCCCGAGCCCACGCCACGGCCCCCCGACGGCGCGCGCTGCGTCATCACCGGCTGGGGCTCGGTGCGCGAAGGAGGTAGGCGCGGCCGCCCGCCCCCCCGCCGGTCCCCACCCGCGCCCCCGGCGGCGTCGAGCGCGCCCCCGGCCCATCCGGCTCCGTCTCGCCCGTAGGCTCGATGGCGCGGCAGCTGCAGAAGGCGGCCGTGCGCCTCCTCAGCGAGCAGACGTGCCGCCGCTTCTACCCAGTACAGATCAGCAGCCGCATGCTGTGCGCCGGCTTCCCGCAGGGCGGCGTGGACAGCTGCTCGGTGAGCGCACTTTGCTGCGGAAGCGGGCGCTCCGCGGAGGGCGGGGGTCGCGGGATGAAGTTCTCATCGCTGCGAGGCCTGCCGGCCAGGTGCCACTCTCCGACGCCCACTTCTCCAGCCCGCCAAGTAGGGCACCGATCCCGGCCTCGAATTCTCACTCCACCACCGTTTATTGGGCATCCTGCCCCTGGGCCCTGCAGAGGAGGGCTGGAGGCTGGGCAGCGAGAGGTCCCATTCTGGCCCGAGACCAACGCCCAGTGTCCATAAATGTCTGCCGGCCAAAGGAGCGGGTGGTCCTAACACATCCCATCTCCCAGGAACTAGGAGGCTCAGGGGAAAGTGGCCCAGGCTCAAGGGCATCTGTGGGGGGAGGGGGGTACTGGCCTGCTCTTAAGGCCTTTCCTTTCCTCCCCTCAGGGTGACGCTGGGGGACCCCTAGCCTGCAGGGAGCCCTCTGGCCGGTGGGTGCTAACTGGGGTCACCAGCTGGGGTTACGGCTGCGGACGGCCCCACTTCCCGGGTGTCTATACTCGCGTGGCTGCCGTGAGAGGCTGGATCGGGCAGAACATCCAGGAGTGACCGGCCCGTGGCTGCCCACGCCTGGGACAAGAGAGGTGAAGGCAGCAGGAAGCGGCTGGCCCCTCTGCCGGAGGAGGGGAGTCTGGGGCGCGGGAAAGGGGAAGGTGAAGGGCTGCGGGTAACCGGGAGCAATCTTACTGCGTATTTTGTTGCAATAAACAGCCCCTGGTCCCTAGCCTGCCGGCTCAGCACCTCCGTGTCACAGCAAGGACCACTTGCCCGCCCCTCAGCCCGGCCTGGGGGTGGGAGGGTGCGGGGGAGAGGAAGCGAGGCCTCCTGGGGGCGAGGACCACCCTCCAAGGCTTCGGCGCAGCAGCTGGGGAGGGGGCTGGCCAGCCTCCTCTTCCAATGTCCCCTTCGTGCAAGCAACCTGTTCCCGGTCATCGCGGACGCCCAGCCGCGCAGAGGGGAAGCGGGTCGGGGGGGAAGAGGCTCAGTCCGGGCGGGGCACCCAAGAACACGCGCTACCACCTCCCACAGAGACCCCCTGAAGGGAAGAGCGACGGCTTCTTTTCCGCCCCTCCCTCATTTATTTGCCCGCCCACCGTCAGGCGGTCACAGCTCAGGTGGGGCCTCACGGCTCCCCCAGGTCCAACCGCGGATTCTCCGCCCGAGGCACAAGGTGAGCCTGTGCACACCAGGGGCCGTGCCGCCGGGCTGCCGGCAGTTGGCAAAGTCTCGGCCCCGCCCCCCGCCAGATCCACGCTGCGCTCGCTGGCAGGCGGGAGGGGAGCAGCGTCCCAAGGGTCGCCGGTCTCCTCAGAAGCACGGGCAGGCAGGACGCACGAGGGGGCCCCCGCTTCGCAAAGAGCGTTTATGGAACTGAAATGGAGGGTGGGGGTCGGGCGCGGCGGGGTCACATGTTGGCTCGTTCCCGCTGCAGCCGCGAGTTGTAGGCGCGGGACACGGTGTTCCAGGCGTCCATGTAGCGGTCCATGCACATGGCGATGCACTTCTGCAGGCGGGGAGGGCGCGCGGCTCAGCTCCGGCCCCGGCCGGCGCCCCGACCCCGGGGCAGCCGGCCGCGCACGCGCAGGGGCCCCACCGCAACGCCCGCCGGGCCGCGCACGCGCAGGTGCCTCCCCCGCGGCCCCGCCGGTCTCACCTGTTCCGAGTTGTCCAGGGAGCCCCCCGGCTTCCCGATGCACTTCCGGAAGCACTTGTCCGTCATCCTCTGTGGAGACACGCGAGCTCAGCCGCGACACCCGTCCCCACGGACCCCACCGCCCTCAGCGCCCGCCCCGGCCCGACCCCAGACCTGCAGCAGCTCCTGCGCGTTAGCCACGGCGATCTGCACCTTCACCTGCTCCATGATGAGCCCCGGGTCCAGCTTGCCGCCTCCGGAGCTCCCGAAATCCGAGCCGAAGCCACCCTCCATGGCTCCGCAAAGCCCAACGAACGGAAACCGCGTGCGCCGACCCGTACCCACGCCGGAAGTCGGCCTCCCGGGGCACCACGGGAAATGAATTCCGAGCGTGCTGGGAGCGGAGCCAGGTCGGACTACAACTACCACAAGGCCGTGCGCCCCCTCCCCCCCCCCCACTTTGCGCGCAAGCGCGGTCTGCAACCGGCTTCCGCGCCGGCCGCGGGTGTCTCCGACATGGTGCCAGTGGGTGGGAGGCACGGGGGCTGCTGAGAAGACGTTCCCGGCTCGCCGTGCGGGCCGCGCATGCGCACAAGGCCCCCCCGCGGCAGGCGCGTCACGTGACCGAAGGCGCAGGCTGGCACGGGAGGCCCGGTCGAACCACGGGGGTCTCCGACGCCGGCCTCTTGCCGGACTGGGGCAGCTGTGTCAGAGCGGACTCGGGGGCAGCACTTAAAACCAAAATGTTTATTGGAGTGTTGTACAAAAAGTTTCCAGTCATAAAATGCATATTACAAATCACTGGAGAAAGAAAAAGACCACACGTTTGGCATGCAAGTTCGTGGACGCCGCCCCCCGCTCCCCCGCCCGGCGCTCGCTCGGGGCGGCCCCCCGGCAGGTTGTGCTGGTGCTTCGGCGGGGGCGCGCCCTGGGGCCGCGGGGTCAGACCGCACCCGGAGGGCCGCCGAGCCGCCGCTGGCCGGGGCGAGGGAACCGTCTCGCGTCCTTTAAAGCGGCTTAAAGCTAAGAATGTTTGACAACTACGAACTGTTTCCCAGGCCGACGCTGACGTTGTAACATTGGATTCCACCCTGGATCTCCCAGCACTTCCCTACCAACGCCCGTCCCCCACTTGCTGGCACCCCTCCCGCGGGCCAGGGACGCCACCGGGTGGGCATAAGGCGGGGAACCGGCTTGAAGACGACAGGAATCACCTGCCGGACACGAGGGGGACCCACTCCCTGCACATGAGACCCCCCAAGACACCTCGCAGGATGTGGCCCGAGGCCAGGGCACACTGTCGGGAGGACCCCAGCCCCACCCTCCCAAAGCCTCAAGCCTCTGCACTCCAGGCCCGCACTGTGCGCGTGGTCCCCGAGGTGTGGGCGCGGGGTGGGGGGTTGCACAGCCGGCGGCCCTCCTGGGAAAGGTCATGTGCGGGGCGGGGCTGGCGCACCGCCAGGCTGAGCGAGCGCCCCGGGGCCCACCAGAAACGCGGGGAGGAGTAGTTAGATAGACATTTACGTCCACGAGAAGAACCGAGCACGGCCCGGCGACTCGGGTGGCCATGGAAAGAACTAGACCTAAAGCAAGGGGCTGCGCGCAGATTCTCGATGCAGCAGAAGCCTCCGACCCTCCGGCCACAAGCAGTTTCCAAGGGAAGTGAGACGGGACGGGTAGGGCGGGGGGGACCGCCCGAGGCGGGAGGCAGGCGTGCTGTTCCCGGCCTAGGGCGAGCCGGGAGGGGCTGGCTGCTTTGTAAACGGGCTGCCTTCTGGGGGCAGCGTGCCTCCATGGCTCAGTATGACGTCTTGAAGACTCGAGCTGCACTTTCTGAAGGAATTTGCCGTCTGGGGCCTCAGAGGTCACCGAGATAGCCTCCCTCAACTCCAGCCCCTTGGGGGGCTGTCCCAGTGACGCTGGCATGAGGCCTCAAGTGGAATCCGGCAATCTGAGTACTGACCAATGTAAAAAAATAAATATCCATTAAAAAAATAACTTCTGTGTATCTATGTGGGAGGGGGTACAAATGGGAAGCAGATGCGGAGGTGGCCGGGCAGCCAGGAGCTGGACTGGGGGCCGTGGAGCCGTCCTGGGGAATCAGCCAGCACCGGCATGTCTGAGAAACAGCACTTCAGCGAGGTCGCCACAGAAGCTAGGACGGCGGAACACGCGCAAGGGCACACGGGGGACGGCGGGCGTCGGGACTCAGCCCCGTGCACAAGGCACAGAGTGGGAAACCGCGGGCGGGCGGTCCGGTGGCTCACCCTCAAGTTGCTCTCCTCACGGCGGGCAGGAACTGGCTGCTCCCCTTGGACAGTGGCTCTGAAACCAGGGGCACTTGCTTCCAAGGTGACCCCATTTCCCTTTCCACCTGTCCCCTGGGCATATACCTGGTGACAAATCTCCAAACGGAGCTGTCCCTGTTCCCTGGGTTTCCATCTCTCTCTCCTGCCCTGTTGGTCCTGCAAGCTTAGGAACTGGACTACAGAAAGCTCCAGAAACTCGAGGGCCAGAGAGCCAGGAAGGGAAAAGGGGGCCCACTGCAGAGTGCCTCGATGTGCTTAGAAACCTGGCCCGCGGCCGCACACCATCACAACAAGGACTTACACCAGAGCCCTGGAGCCCAGGCCGGGCGGCCAAAACCCCACACTCCAGCACCTGCGGCCGGGCCACCAAAATTCCACAGGGGATGCGCCTACCCCCCTGCCCCAGGTCAGAACCTGGATTCTGGATTTGGTTTTTAAGGAGCTTCATAAAACAACTGAACTCCTAGGCAGTCCTGCTCTCCATCCACTCGAGGCCCACAGGGCGGCTCCTGGAGACAAGAGCCCCAGCCCTGGCAGCCCCTGGCCCGGCCTTCCAGCCTCCACGCCCAACCCCCGTCAGCCATTAGGTTCCTCGGCCTCGAATTCAACCAAATGGTGAAATGGGGCACCAAAAAGAACTCTGGCCAGTGGTGATGAAGGAAGGGTCCAAGGAAGTCCACCCATAGGAAAGATCACAGAGACCCGCCCCCACGTTCTGGCAGTATGCTTAAAAATTCTCTAGAAATGTATCAAGGACTAAAGACAGCCAATGATATAAAAATAGTTTTCGGTGGCTCTGGGTAAAGACAGTTGATGAGGCGTGTTCCGTTCACATCACGCGGCAGCCTCTCGAGGTGGTCCTTGGGTCCCCCTAGAAAGAAAGCCCGGCAACCTAAGAGGCCTGCACGTGCCCACCTGGCCAGGCAGGTCCCCCAACCCCTGCCGGAGAGGGGCCGGACCAGAGCCTGTGCCCCGCCCCCCCCAGCAAGTCGATGGGGCCGGCAGCTTCAGCCTCAACTGTCCCTGATCCAGAACCTTCGACGTCTCCCTTCCTTCTGTTCCGAGCTACACAGGCCATCAGGACTTAAAGGTCAGACACGAGTCTTACCACGCAGAGGGGCTGCAGCTCAGCCCCAGAGCCTCAGGAACCCTTCGCCCGAACACCATTACTTAAGCCCTGGTATCTCTGGCAGGAAGGAGCAGTGGCCTCAGAGCCCGTTCACTGAGGACCCTCAAGGCTACACCGGCGCCACCCGGAGGTGCTCGGGGTTCAACACCCCACTCCTGGGGGCCCCGGGGCCAGAACCCTGAGGTCCACACAAGGAGCAAGAGCCAGGAGACAAGGGTATTCCCCCCACAGGCCACCTCTGGGGGGGGGCGGGGGGAGGGCCTGGGGGCGGTGGGCGTGCGGCCCTCCAGGCAGGGCAAGGCCTGGGCGGTGCCAAGAGCCAGCCACGGCCAGCCTCGCCCAGACGCCTCGCCCAGACGCCGGAGCAGCACCGCGCGGGAACCTCCCGGCGGCATACGCATGCGCGTCCGAGTGGGCGTCCCCACGTGTCACCTGGGGGCCTCTACCTGTTGATGGAAAAGATCCTCCTCGCCAAACTCTGCTGCCTCCTCCTCTCCCTCCTCCCCGTTCTCCGTCTCCCGCACCACCGAGGACTGCTTCACGGTTCTCATGGCCACTTCCTGCGCAGGAGAAGGGCCACAGACACTTGACTCCTCGGGTGGCGGGGGCGCAGCCCGTCACGGTGGTGGTCAGGCCCGGGTGCTCCAGCCGAGCCTCAGCACACCGAGAACCACGTTCCGAACCCAGGGTTGTGCTCCCTGGGCCTGTGGGGTGGTAAGGGTGAGATGGGGACCCCAGGAGGGACTCCAGGGCTAGGATGGAGGTGGCCCCCGGCAGGCTTTGGGCACCCACCTCCCCGTCGGCGTTGACCAAGACGGTCCGGAAGCTCTCGCCCACGCCCCAGCTGTTCTGGTTCTTCCACACGAGTGTCGAGGGGGGGCTGTGGGCCACTCCCGCACCAGCAGCCCACACCTAGGGACACAGGAGGGCCTCCCCATCAATGCTGGCTCCAGGCACAGTACCATATGCCACCAGCCAGGGTAAAGGAGACACTGAGGTCTGGTGGCCAAGGGCTCATGTCAACAAATGCAGGCTGAGCGGAGACCGGAAGCCCATCAGCCCCCGGAGTCAGCGCCGGTGACTCTTCGATGCTGACGCGTCACCACGGGGCTCCAAAGGGCTCCAGGGAGGGTCCAAGGGCACACAGGTGACCCGCGACAGGACTCAGCTGTTCTCAGAGCCAAGTCACTCGACCACTGCCCCCCCCGCCCCCTCAAGCCATTGCCTGCTTCTCAAGAACGCCCCACACCCCAGCCACCACTCACATGGGTCGCCCAGGGCCACTCTCCCCACCGCCCGGCCTTCCACGGCCACCTACCGTGACAGTCTGGCCGGCGCGCAGCACGTACTTGGGCGTGAACTTGTAGGCAATCTCCTCCCCTTCCATGACCTGCCTCTTGATTCGCCAGTTCCCCAAGGACTGGTCCTGGCACAGGGGACACTGCGCCTGACGCACAGCTCGGAGATGCTGCCCCCCACCCCGCGCCCCGGCGTGCAGGCCCCTCACCTTGTCCGAGCTGTTCTTCAGCTGCACAAACCTGCCCTCCAGGTCGATGTCCTCGATGCCGATGCCGCCCGAGGCCGAGGCCCGCTGCATCAGATGGAAGCTGGTGCTGCCGCTGCTGCTGCTGCCGGAGCCAATGCCGCTCGAGCCCGGGCCCGGCGACTCCTCCGCCTCCGGCCGCTTGCGCTTGCTGCGGCCCGGGCGCCCGGCCGTGGACACGCCGCCACTGCTGCTGCTCGACGTGGCCCGCGAGACGGTGACGCGCGACGCCGGACTGGGGGTCAGCTTCAGCCTGCGGGGCGGGACCGAGGGCGGACCGGGGCTCCCGAGGGGCCCAAGCCGCTCGCTCGCCAGCCCCCCTGCAGCCCCGCCCCCCCCGCCCCGCCCCGCTCCTTGCCCCTTGTAGCCCCACCCCCTCCCTCCTGGCCTCGCCCCCTTGGCCTCCCTCTCCTGAGACCACCCCCACCTCTCCTCCTCGCCCTCCAGGAGCTTGCGGTAGGCGCTGATCTCCATGTCCAGGGCCAGCTTGACATCGAGCAGCTCCTGGTACTCGGCCAGCTGCTGCTGCATCACGTCCCGCATCTCGGTCATCTCCTGCTCCTTGGCGTCCAGCATCTTGCGGAACTTGTCCCGCTCCCCAGCCATGGTCTCCTCCAGCTCGCGAATCCGGTCCTCTGCGGCACTGGCCTGGCGGGCGGTGGGGGGAGCCCGGGCGGCCAGGTCAGGGCGGCCTCTGCAGGTCACGCAGAGAAGCCTACCGGGCTGCGTGTGCGGGCGGGCACCGACAGCGGGCAGGAGGCCCTGGAGGGCGGGGGGAGGCGTGGGCAGAGACCAGTCCCCGCAGCACGAGGGCTCTGGTGGTCGGTGGGCCCAACAGCCACCCCACTCCCCGGGCCAGGAGGGGAGGGGTGATGCATCACCCACACTGCCGTTCGTGGCTCGTCTACACCCGAGACGCCAGAAGGAGGGTCCCGCAGCAGTGGCAGGGCCGAGGCGGGGGCAGGCCCTCGGGAGTCACCTGCTTCTGGAGGCCGGAGAGCTGGTAGCTGAGGGACTCGACCCGCATGCGGGCTTCCTTCAGCTCCTCCCGGGCGGCACTGGCGGCCTTATCGTTCTGGTCAGAGCTCAGCTTGGCGCTGTCCAGCTGGAGGGACACGGACAGGTGTGTGAGGGGCGGGCGGCGGGCAGGGAGCTCCCCCCCCGCGCGCCCCCCGCCCCGCCCGCCGCCCGCCGCCCGCCAGCACCTTGGCCTGGTAGGTCTGCTCCAGCTCCAGTTTGTACAGCCGCACTTGCTCGTCGTGCTGGCCGCGCAGCTCCTCCAGCGCCTGCGCCATCCTGAAGTCGTACTCCTGCTGCCGGCTGCTGTCCACCTCCACCAGGCGGCGCTCGTGCCGCCGCCGCGTCTCCCGCACCTCCTGCGCCAGAGCACGGCGGTCAGCGCGCCGCCCTGGGCCCCCAGCCTCGGGGTCACCAGTGTCCTCAACCCGAGCCCCAAGTCCACGTGAGCGCTCAAAACAACGAACCGCCGGAGAGTCACAGAGCGGACACGGCCCCGATAGCCCCCAGCTGACAAGCAGTAAATAAAACGTGTCCCCCACGCGCGGGAGCGTCCCTCGGCCACGAGCACAGGTGCCCACACGCGCGGCCCCGGGGACGGACCCCGAGCCCACGACGCTCAGGGAGGGAACCAGACACAGAAGGCCGCACGGGGTGTGCGTCCACGTGGGTGACACGTCCGGAACGGGCTCATCCGCGGACGGGAAGGGGGCTCGCGGGGGCCGGACGGGGAGTAACCACTGATGGGGACGGGGTTTCGTTTTGGGCCGACAGAATGTTCTAGAGTTAAACAGAGGTGAAGGTTGCACAACTCTGTAAATGTACTAAAACCAACCAACTTGTACACTTTAAAAGTTTTATGGTACAGGAACATTTCAATAAAGCTGTGGTTAAAAGAATTCCTGACGAGGGGCACCTGGGTGGCTCATTGGGTTGTGCATCCAACTCTTGGTTTCAGTTCATGTCATGATCTCAGGGTAGCGGGATCGAGCCCCAAGTTGGGCTGTGCACTCAGTGGGAGTCAGCTTGTTGAGATTCTTTCCCCCTCCCTCTCCCTCTGCTCCTCTCTCTGCTCGCACACTTATGTTTTTTCTTTCTCGCTCTCAAATAAATAAATAAAATCTTAAAAAAAAAAAAACGACTTCCTGCCGAGCCCGTCTCAGGCACCTGGGGTCCGAGGCACAGAGACCTGGCCCTAAGGAGGTCGGCCGCAATACTAAACAAACCAGTGGGAGGTCTGGGCCTAGCACACAGCCCCCCAAACACAGGGTGGGCTCAGGTGCGGGCAGAGGGCGCTGTTCACCAGCCCCGGGCTACAAAGAAAGGCAAGCGCCTTTCCTCCAAGAAACTCACTCCAGCAGAAAGCAGTCGCTTACCACCCTGTGCCATCAGCTTGTAAAAATAATAGTGATGTTTCTCAAGGAAGCCAGCCCTGTTTACAAAGAAGCCATGAAGCTTGGGGAATCCAGGACCAGCACACCCACCTTCATGGAGCCCCCTTTGGCCGCTCGCAAGGCTCCCTGCATGGCTCCGCGCCAGGAGCCCTTCCAGGGTGTCCTTCGGGCTCCCCTCACAGGTCCCCGCATGGCTCTCTTCCTGGGATCCTTCCTCACAAGTTCAGGGCCCCATACAGACCCCCTCAAAGGCTTCAGGGCTCTGGAGGGTGCCTTCAGGGGTTCCCTCAGGGGCTCCTCCCCAGCTGCCCTGGCCCTGGCCCTGGCCAGGCCTGGCTGCAGCTGGAGACCACTCCTCAGTTGTACGGGCATGCTTGCTACCAGCAGCTCCCCTCGGGCACTGAGTGCATGAACCGGCTGGCCCCGGAGTTCCATTCTGGGCCGTGACAGGACAATGAGCTCTGTGATGATGAACTGGGAGGGGCCCCACACCACATCCCTTCTGAGAAGACACAGAAACCCCAGCTCTAACTGCCAGGACTGTCCTTCACTCCCAGGTGGGCCCGCCATACCCCCGAGCCCAGGCCCAGGGATTCAGAGCTTGGCAGGGGGGACCCAGGGAGCAACAGAAGCAGAGGGGCCCGCCCCTTCCCTTTCACAGAGAGGGTCTGCCATGGATTCAACGGTGGCGCCCCAAAAGATGTATCCAGGGCCACATTTTATTTATTTATTTTTTTAAAGATTTTATTTATTTATTTGAGAGAGAATGACAGATAGAAAGCACGAGAGGGAAGAGGGTCAGAGGGAGAAGCAGACTCCCCGCCGAGCAGGAAGCCCGATGTGGGACTCGATCCCAGGACTCCAGGATCATGACCTGAGCCGAAGGCAGTCGCTTAACCAACTGAGCCACGCAGGCGCCCCAGGGCCACATTTTAAATAATCTATCTAAAATTATCTTAGTAGGCAGAGAAAGAGCATTTTGTAGTATTCAACATTCACAGTATGACAAATACACTTACTAATAATGAGAATACATGAGAACTCTCAAATCCTCTTGGAGAAAGAGCATTTTGTAGTATTCAACATTCACAGTATGACAAATACACTTACTAATAATGAGAATACATGAGAACTCTCAAATCCTCTTGGAGGGCATCTCTAAAATGTGGTTTATGAAAGAATGCACACATATGTGTTTAGAGTCACCTGTTCAGTAGAATTCTATACACATCATGAAAACCCAGCACTCTGATCCCCTTCAGCGGGATTGTAGATCTCCCAGCCAGAACTAGGACATGTCAGTGTAAGAGTTACATTAAGAAAAAAGGAACTTGGGGCGCCTGGGTGGCTCAGTCGTTAAGCATTTACCTTTGGCTCAGGTCACGATCCCAGGGTCCTGGGATTGAGCCCCACATCAGGCTCCCTGCTCGGCGGGAAGCCTGCTTCTCCCTCTCCCACTCCCCCTGCTTGTGTTCCCTCTCTCTGTCAAATAAATAAAATCTTTAAAAAAAAAAAAAAAAAGATGTGTCCACGTCCTAATCCCCAGAAGTAGGAGTGTGACCTTATTTGGAAAAGGGGCTTTGCGGATGGGATTAATGAATCTCCAAATCAGATCCTTCTGGATCATCTGGGTGGGCCCTAAACCAATGACAAGTGTCTTCATAAGAGACAGAAGAGCAGAGACGGGGAGAGGCCACGTGAAGGCAGAAGCACAGAGGGAGGCACACGGCCACGAGCTTGGGGGACACCTAGAGCCCCCCACCCTGGGGCTGGGAGAGGCAGTAGGACCCTCCCCTGGAGCCTCCGGAGGGAGCATGGCCCCGGCCTACCCTGATCGTGGTGGCTCTGCCCTCCGGGAAGTGGGAGGCCACGAACTTTCCCGTGTGGGGGTGCGGTCGGCCCTGAGACTCACCTCCTCAAAGACGTTCTTCCGGAAGTCGAGCTCCTCCTGCAGGCTCTGGCAGCGGTTCTCCAGATCTACGCGCATCAGCGTCTCCTTCTCCAGCTGCTTTTTGGCCACCGCGTGACCGTCCTCTGCCTGGGAGACACGACAGCAGGCTAAGGTGACACTGTCTGCCGCACCATATGGCCTCTCGGGGCCCAGGGATCCCCTTAAACACACACACTCCAACAGACGGTGTCGAGGACTTGGAAACCGGCCGCCCGCAGCGCTCGCGCCGGCCCCCAGCGTCCCCAGCTTCCCCGCCAGACTGGGGAAACCTGCCCGAAACCTGCCTTAGCCAGCTGGGCCCGCAGCTCGGCCACGTCGCTCTCCAGGCCGCGCTTGTCGCTGAGGGCGGCGGCCAGCTCTGCCTCGCTCCGGTGGAACAGCGACTCCAGATCCTTCACGCGGCCCTGGGCCACCGTGAGCTCACCCTCCCTCTTCTTGGAGCTGCAAGTCAAGAGCAGGCGTTAGGCAGGAGCAGGAGGGGCGAGCTGGGTGTGGGGGGCTACAGGGGGCCCCTCAGGCAGCGCCAGGAAGCCCAGGGACCAGCTCACTCTGGCCTCTGAGCTGTGGGCATCTGCTCTGGGGTAACAGGGCCCAGGCTGTCACCCAAAAAGCTGCCCCTTCTTCAGACCTGCTCTGCACGTCAGGACTCCACCAGCTAACAAATATAAGTGCTCAAAAAAGCCTCAAGGAAAGAGCTTTAATGTCATTTTTTTGTGATTTTTCAACACAAGAGGGATCATTTAGGGGAGAACAATTTTTAAAAAAGTTAACGTATAATTTATTAAAGTTGCATATTAAAATCCTGGCCTTTGAAAAGTCGATCTTGTTTGTAAACTTAAACTACTTTAAGCAGGTTCATCTGATATTCTGGGAGACAATTTTCCCCAATATTAAAGAAGGCAAATAGATTCCGTAACGCCCAGCTATTACTAGCATGGGTCTGAGGCTCTTGAACATTTCTCAAAGGAATCCTCCATCTTCTTGGAATTGAATGCATACCACCTCTCCACCGGGGAGCCGACAGAGCCCTCCCCAGCAAGAGTGGGGACACCCAGGGTCTCCCCCCCAGCGCTGCTCACAAGAGGGCGCTGTGGGGGCTGAACAGCGTCCTGGCGCACCTCCCCCCCCACCCAGTGAGAACCACTGGGGCCGCAGCATCAGCTTGCACAAGGGGGGTGGTGCAGAGACCAGTGACTTCGGCCGCCAAGCTGCTCGTGTCTTCCACAACAGCCCTGGGAACATGGAGCTCCACTGAGGCATTTTACCGCCCCCTCCACGAGGGTCTCAGGGTCCCTGCAGTCCTCGTCCCTGAGCTTACGCCGCACGGTCCTGCTCTCCCACCCATATGGGGCTGGGGGCTGCACAACCTGAGCCCCTAGAGCAGGTTTTGCAGGGGTTTGGGGAAACGAATCATTCGTTTGACACCCATTACTGAGGGCCCACTTTGTGGAGAATGCCACTCTCGTGTCAGAGATACACCCGGGAACACCCTTGCTCTCCCGATGCAGAACTTTCTCGTGAGATGAGATGACAGTGAAGGTGCTGCCTGTCAGATGCGAATCTGCATTAGGAGGGCAGAGGAGGCGGGGCGGAAGGTGAGGAATGAGCACAAGCCGGGGGGAACCGCACTTTTAAGGCACACAAGCCCCGCTGGGGGTCACCCTTGAAATAGACTTGGATGAGGGGAGTGTAAGAATGAGCCAGATCCATTATTTCCGAGAGAAGAGTATTTGGGCACAGGAAGCAGAAGTGCAAAGGCCCTGGGGTGAGGTGTGCCTGGCAAGTTTGAGATCAGTGACAAAACCAGGGTAACAGGAACAGAGGCATCAGGTGATGTAGAAAATTTTTCTTTTTTTTAAAAGTTCATTTAAATAATCTCTACACCCAATGTAGGGCTTGACCTCACAACCCCAAGATTAAGCATCACATGTTCTTCCAACTGAGTCAGCCAGGCACCTCAATGTGGAAAATTTCTAAACAACTTTATCCAATATTTGGATTCTACAGAACTACGCAGAATGGCCCAGAAAGCAGGGGCAGTGGTGGCTCCCACTGGCTTATGTCTCACTGGCCACGTCTCACGAGCTTCAAGGCGCGAACGCGGCTTCCTCATCTGTGTAACAGTAAGTCCCGGAGGATTAAGCGGGAGAATGTGGCCTATTTGTCGGGTCCTCCCTCACACAGCCACAGCACCCCTGGTGAACCAGCCCCGGGCCCGGAAACATCCCGGCGGCCAGCACAGACTCCCGGCACAGAGGACATCTGATGACCCAGGGGGACATTCGTGAAAGGCTCGTGGCCTCCAAAGCCCCCCACCCCCAACCATTGTCTCCGGCGTCTGCCATGAGTTTATGGAGGTGCGTGCGGGCGCTCAGACCGGCCACGGAAGCTCTGTCTGGGGAAAGCCTGCAAGGCTGCTGTAGACTTTTACTTTTCTCTTTAAACTATCTTGCATTTTCCACTTTCTCACCAGTGAGCATCTGTGACTGCTAAGCAGAAAAAAACAAGACTCCTGGGCCCAGACAAGGAGCCACACACAGGATCCCAGGCATCCAGAGGCTTCTGGAATCTGCACTGGTCCCAGGCAGAGCAGCTGGGGTCTCGGGCAGTGCTCACTCTGGAATTTCCTCAATCTTCCCCAAGAAGCACAAATCACTTTTTAATTAAAAAACCTACTAAACTGATGGGATACAGGCTACCTGGCCGCTTAAAACTACAGATGGCCTTTGCCCCTTGGCCAAAGACCAGGCGCCTAGACTGTGGGGCCACCTCTGCGCTCTGTTCTGTTCCAGTAGACCTCCTCCACGGAGGCACCTCAGCAGCACAGCCCTGAGAAAGAGCAGCCGGGCTGAGAAGGCCACACACTGTGTGGTTCCAAGTCTAGGACATTCTGGGCTGAATTATGTTGGGGACCAAAGGTGGTGGGAAGGGCCAGCTAGAGGGCCAGGCCACAGAGCACCCTCACTCCCCAGGGGCCAGCCCGCATGACCCCGCACCAAGGGTGTCTGGGTGTGGCTCAGGGCCGCCGGGGACGCACCATACCTCAGCTGCACACCTACCTCTTGTTCGCCTCCTCCAGCTCAGCCTTCAGTTTCCCCAGCTCGATCTGCAGCCGCGCCCGCTCCCGCGCAGTCTCGTCCAGCACCCTGCGGGCGTCGGCCAGCTCCGACTCATACAGCGTCTTGATGCCGCTCACCTGAGGGGGTGCAGCAAGGCCCAGGTCATGGAGAAACCCCTTTCCACCGACAGCGGGCGCTCCCGGGCTGGACACAGCTCCTACTGATGCCAGAGGCCTCCCCACCCAGCTCAGCCCCCCTACCCCTGGGTGACCCCAGCCGGCCCGACCTGCCCAGGTCCCCTGTCCCCCACTCCGGTCACCCACCAGATGGGCACACAGTTCATGCTTCTCGTGGCCTTGTTACCCCCTACCTTCCCCCATCCCCCCATGTCTATGTGCAGAGGGCAGGCACAGGCGTTTACAAATACCTGGAACCAAACCAGGACGGTGAGAGAGTCCCTCAACCCCACTAGGACAGCCAGAGTCAAAAAGACAAAGGGTAACAGACACTGGCAGCAACACAGAGAAATCGGGACCTCCACCCACAGCCGGTGGGAGTGGGAAACGGGCCAGCGCCGGGCTCGGGCGGCTGACCCTGCAGCCCTGTGACTCCACTGCTGGGACCTACCTACGCGGTAGAAGTAACATGTGCACGCACATGAACCTGTGTGCGTGTTCACGGCACAGTTCACAGCAGCCGGAAGGTATAAACGACCCAAACGTCCATCAGTGGACCAGCAGATACATACAGTGTGTCCACACACCCACGGGCACGTCCCACGGCCGCGAGCAGGAGCAAGGCGCCCTCACGTGTTGCCCCGGGGACAGACCCGAGCCCACGACGCTCAGGGAGGGAACCAGACACGGAAGGCCACACGGGGTGTGCGTCCACGTGGGTGACACGTCCAGAACAGGCTCATCCACGGACGGGAAGGGGGCTGGTGGGGGCTGGGGAGGGATGGGGGGTGACGGCTGATGGGGACAGGGCTTCTTTTGGGAAGATGGGAATGTTCCGGAATTGGACAGAGGCGATGGTTGCACACATCTAAACACGCTAAGACCACTGAGCTGTAGAGCATTGTTGGAAGAGCCATAGGGGCTGAGAATTCAAGCTCAATGAAGCTGCGGACAGAGAAGGTGGATGGAGGACGACAATCAGAACCACTCCCAGGGCGGCCGGCTTTGAAAGCTACCACCTCCCAGGAAACTACGAGATACCAGCAGGTGTCTGGGCTGGGGGGTGCAGGGGCAGCCGGGCCACCTCCCTTCCATGGGAAAGGCCCCAGAGCAGAGGCGGCTGCAGGGAGCTGCCAAGGACCTGCGACGTGGTCAGGTAACCACCATCCCCTGGCCAGGGACAGAGGAGCTTCTGGGAGGTGGGACTTTCCAGAAGAGTCGGGGTTTTAACAGACAGTCGAGACCCCCCCACCCTGAGAAATATGGTCGAGTAAGTAAAAATACATCATATTGCTTGTCTCCACGACCGAGATTTTTGGCAACCCCTTGAATTCACCCGTCCTGACCCTGCTCTGGGCTCCCAGGCCAGGGTCTCAGTCTCCTCAAGTGTCTTGGTTAAAGTACCGAGTTCTGGGGCACCCGACTGTCTGGGACGCATAATTCTTGATCTAAGGGTGGAAGTTCAAGCACCACGGTTGTAGAGATTACTAAATAAAAGTACTAAGTCCATGCAGTGTTTCACGTCCGTGTGTGCACGCGCACACATGCGGGCACATGTCCATCTGTCTTAATAAGGCACTTATCTACAGCCAGGTCTGCAAACTCAGGCCCACAAGCCAAATTCCATCCCAACGCCTGTGTTTGCCCAGCCTGCAAGCCCAGGATAGTTTTTACATCTTTAAACGGTGAAGGCGGGGGGGGGGGGTGGAGAAAAAAATTTTGCGACACAGGCAAATTACAGGAATTTAGGTTTCCATGTGTATAAATAAAGTTTTATTGGCACGCAGCCTGGCCCGTTCCTTTACATAGTGTCCGTGACAGCTTTCCACTGTGACGGCTGAGTTGAGTAGCTGTGATGGAGACTTCCAGCCCACAGAGCTGAAAACGCTGACTCTGGCCCTGTTCAGAAAACATCTGCCAATCCCACTCTATGGCCCTGGGACAATGTAGAAAATGCTTGTAGAGGAAAAGCACACAGCCTCTTTCAGACCACTAACAGGTGCTCTGCTGGCAGGACTTGCTTCCCTGCACCTGTGACAGTCCCTGCAGAAGCCTGGGCCACAGCAATGGGAGACCAATGGCTTGGGCCTTTTGTTTGGTCTTTAATGGCATTCTGCAACTGCCAAGAATGAACAAATGTGTTAGCATGTGTTGGCCAGGGAGGGGGAGCGTGGGGGGGGCGTGTCCAGATAACCCGAGGTGGCCTTTTCCTGTTCCCGAGTCTCTGGGGGATGAAATCTTCCCAGCTAAGAACCACAGTTCTGCAGGTAATCCCCAGACACAGGCAGCCCCAAGTGCTACTTCCTCCCACCCAGCTCACCGCACCCTGCCCCTGCTCCCCGGGTCCACCTGAGGGAGCCCCCTACCTGCCCCCACCCCCCCAGCAGCAACAGGACACCCTGGCAGGTAAGAGAAAAGAAACCGAAGGCTGGAGGAACTTAACACCCAAGTGGGGAGGCTCCTTGGAGAACTGCCTCCCCCTCCCGGGTCCCCTCCCTCCCGGCCAGCACACAAGACCTCTCTCAAACAGAAATCCGGCCCGGCCCCAGCCCTTCCAGAAACCCTCCAGTGACATGAGCACATGGCTCTTCAGGAGAGCACTGCCCACCCGACCAATACCCAGCGGGACCTGTAGGTAGGCAAGTGTGAGAGCATGCCCACGGGCAGAACAGCAAGGGCTTGGAAGCTTCAGTTTTACCTCAACTGTTTAGGTTTTACTACAAGCGTGTGGTATGCTTATAACATTTTAAAAGGCATCTTCAAAGGGTTCCTGAAGTGGCTTCTCCTAATGGCATTTGGGGCTGGAACATCCTCGGGGGTGGGGCCATCGTGAGCACCACTTGATGCCAGGAGCACCCCCAGCCTGATGACCACTAATGTCCCTGGGGGCAGCCTCCATGGCGGCAAGGAGCTGCTGTTCAGGTAAAGCACACACATCCCTCCTACTGGAGCCACCTTCCCGGCCCCCTCCCTGCTTCTGCCCACCCACCTCTCCAGAGCCTGGCGAGCCTCCCCACCCCCCCACCCCGGCCCCTAGCCAAGGCCATTTCCAGGTCACTCCCTCTAAAGAGCCCATGGGACCACTCCCGCGCTCACTGCTCCAGCGTCCCCTCCCTCCGTAGGTCACCAGCTCCCTCCACTGCCCAGTTCCGAGGGGCATTTATCACCTGGCCCCACGGGCAGGTGGAAGCTCCAGAACAAGCTGGTGGCAACTCCCCAGCTCCAGCTGGGAGCGCAGCCCTCACCCCGGGGTGACACCTAGAGCCCCCGCACAGCCCCTGAGCTCACAATGGGGCAGGTTTATCACCCACAGCAAGACTGCCTTTGTTCCCTTGAGCTCATCTGGTTTCCAGGAGGCCTCGCCAGCTGAGAAGGGAATGATGCTGCTCCCCAGACAGCCGGCGGACCGGGTTCCCCAGGCGCTCCCGCACGGGCTCTAGGTACAACACCCACCCAGCGTATGCTGGTCACTGCCACGGGGCCCAGCAGGCCCATCACCCCCAAAGGTCTGTTTGCCATTCACCCCACCTGCAGGTGGGACAAGCAAGGCCAGGGGAAAGACAAGAAACTCGCGTGGGTGGCGCACTGACCAACCCAGCAGGCAGGAACTGGGTCCACATCCTGAGGACATTAGGGGGCCACCTCGGGGGCAGACAATTCTAGCCCCATTGTATTAATGACAAAACCTGCCCAAGGTCACACTGACTAAAAGCAGTTTGCATCTGAGTTTGAATCCAATCCCGAGCAACAGAGCACCAGCTACCAAAGAAACTCCCTCCCCATCATCACCCAAGACACTTTCTGAGCCATTGCCTGTCCTGGCAACGATGAAACAGGGGCGACAGAACCCACGGAATACTTCCTCGGGGCACCTGTCCTTTATTCTACAAAACACATATTAACACACACGCCCCACCAGCTAGCACAAAAGGGGGGCATTGTTATTTCCATTTTACAAAAGAAGCACTGAGATCCAGAGAATTTAAGTGACTTGCCCTGGGTCACACAAAGGGTAAGTGGCTCCCCGAAATGACCCCCTAGCTGCTCTCCCCCAAATCTGTCACTTGGTCCACGGTCAGGATAGGGAAGCCTAGGGAAGCCTAGGCTCAAGCACATTCTGGCTTCAGGGCCTGGCTCTCCTACAGGCCCTCAGGGGGAACCACAGGGTGAGCACTCCCCCAGCCCCCCACCCTTATTCAGAGAAACCACACTTGGGTTTCAAGGGGCCAGCAGGGTCCAGCTAAGTAAGAAAAGAGCCTGGGGCCTGTGGGGACTGGGGGAGGGTTGGGTTGGAGCCACAGTACCCAACCCAGGAAAGGACCCACCCAGGACACCCAGCCCTCACTTGCCCTTACAGGGTGGGGCTTACCCAGCCCCTCTCCCTCAGTCTGCAGTGAAGCCCTGAGACCCACGTGGAAACCAAAACTTCCCACTGGATCCCGCAAGACCAGACGTCTCCCCATCCCCTACCAGGCTCCAGTCCATCAGCCAACGGGGGCCCCAAGGCCCACCTGAGGACCTCTCAAATTTCCCATGGGACCCCTGAGGCATCAGACCCCCTCCCCTCGGATGCCCACCCACCCCAGGTGCGGGTAGGAGACGGACCCTACAGCCAAACCACCTCCCCAGCCCCTCAACTCCCCAGAACTCATCACAGGGCCTTTGCAGAGTCCCACAGAGAACAGAGCACGTGACTCCCCCCAGAGACCCCCCCGACCATGAGACCCTCCACCCAGTTTGAACTCCCGGTCTCCTCCGAGACCAGAGGACCCCACCAAATTTCCTCCCAGGACGCCAGAACATCCTAACGCATCCCCGAGACTCCCCACCTCGCGTAGGGGCGGGGCTTACTCTGGCTCACACCCTCTCAGCCAGGGGATCCCCAGATCGCCTCTAACTACTCAGGGCTCGGCCCTGCCCCATCTCCACCACTCGCACAGGGGGCCCCGAGATCCTTTGGGGATCCCTCGGAGGACGGGTGTACCCCAGACTGCACTCCTCACTCAGTGGACACACGAAATCCCCTGCGGGCCCCTCGGCGGGCGGGGCTTGTCCCGGTGTGCACCCCTCGTTCACAGGTCCCCCGAAAAACCCTGGGGAACCTTCGGTGGGCGGGACCCGCTCCAGTGTGCACCCCTCTCTCACAGGTCGCCCGAAAAGTCCCTCGGACTCCTCTGTGGGCGGGGCCTGCCCCAGTGTGCACCCCTCTCCTGGAGCCCCTCGAGACTCCCTGAGGATCCCCTAGGTGGGCAGGGCCCGCCCGGCTTCCGAACCTCACCCACGGGAAGTCCCCGAAACCCCCCGGGTATAGTCAGAGGCCGAGGCCCACCCCAGCGTGCGCCCCTAGGGCCCCCCGAAACCCCGGGGACCCCCCCGGTGGGCGGGGCCTGCCCAGTGTCACCTCTCGCGCACGGGAGCCCCCGGGGACCCTCAGAGGTCGGAGCCCCGGCTGCGCGCCCACCTCGCGCGTGGTCACCTCCTCCCTCTCGGAGATCTTGAGCAGGAGCCGGTCGTTCTCGAGCTCGAGCGCGCGGACACGGTCGATGTAGTGCGCCAGGCGGTCATTGAGCTCGCGCAGCTCCTCCTTCTCCTGCAGCCGCGACAGGCGCGTGGGCGACAGCGGCGTGGCGGGCCCGCCTGCGCGGCTGGGCAGCGGCGTGGCCATGGCGGCGGCGGTGGTGGCGGCGGCGGCGACAGCGGCTCGGGGCCCGCGCGGCTCGGGACGGCGGCCGCGGCGCGGCGGGCTCATTCAATCCGCGCCGCCGACCAAGATGGCGCCCGGCGCCCGCCGCCGCGGAGCGGCCTGGGACTTGTAGTCTGTCCTGGCTGCGCGGGGCAAGCCGGGAGCTGTAGTTTCCTGTGCGGGCAAGGCTCTGCTCGCCTCCCGCTCCGCTTCTCGCTCTGTCGACACATTGCTGTTCCTGAAATTGCTAGCGTCCAGGGCCAAGCCTCCGGACCCGAAACTCCCAGCTCGCCACCGAGTGACACCGGGTTTCTTTCCAATGCCCACTTTCCCGACTTGTATAACCTACCTACCTCTTTGGAGTCCTTTTAAAATTAAAGGTGAAGGAACCTCAAAAACATGCTCAGTGATGTCACTTACATGTACAATCAAAATAAAATAATAAGATAAGATAAGATAAATAACTGAGCTCACAGCAGGCGCCTGGCTGGCTCAGTCGGAAGAGCGTACCACTCGACCATTGATCTCGGCATTGTGAGTTCAAGCCCCACCTTGGTTGAAGAGATTACTAAAAAAAATTAATTAACTTAAAAAAAAATAACTGAGCTTACAGATACAGAGAACAGGTTGTTGGTGGTTGCCGGTGGAGGGGTGGGAGGTGGGCAAAATAGGCGAAGCGGTCAAAAGGCACAATCTTCCCGTTATAAAATAAAGAAGTCCTGGGGCTGTAATGCACAGCATGGTGACTATAGTTAATAACATTGTATTGTATATCTGAAAGTTGCACAGAGAGTAGACCTTAAAAGTTCTCTTCACAAAAAAAAAAATTGTAACTATGTGTATTGATGGATGCCAACTACACCTACTGTGATCATTTCAACAAGGTACACAAATATCAAATCATGAGGTCATACACCTGAAACTTCTACAATGTTGTATGTCAATGATACCTCAATTTAAAAAAAACAAAAACAGAAACACCTCACTGAAAGAAGCCAGGCACAAAAGGCCACATACTATCCTATTCCACTATATATAAAACATCCAGAAGAGGCGAATCTATAGAGCAGTGTCTTGGCGCATGGCCATTGGGGCCCCGTTGTTTTCTGCGGTGGGGCAGGATGTGGAGGAGCATCTCTGGGCTCCCCACCCCTCCACCTGATGCCAGCAGCACCACAGTCCACTCCAGTCCCAACAACCAAAATGTCTAGACATTTCCACCTGTCACCTGGAGGCAAAATTGCCCCCAGTGGAGAACCACTTCTTTCCCCTCACCCTGGAACTTGCCGGGAGAACCCCTCCTTCCCAGACATCCCACCTTGGGGAATTGGGCTGAAACAGCCTCCCTTAGGGACTCACAAATGTCACACGGAGAACGTGATTGTCCTTCCAGCCTTCTGAGGAGGCGGGATACTCACCTGTCTTGAACACCTGAAACTCACTATATATTCCCCTCTTACCAGAAGCAAAGCCCCCCCCCCACCTTAGAACCCAGGCCGGAACAATCCCCAGCTAGACTGTCACTGTGCTGTTTTCTCAAAAGCTACCTTGTGCTTTAAACCTGATATTGTTGCCTGTACCCTCATCAAACATAAAAGACAGTCGGTAGGATGCGAGGGCATTTAAAGCGAAGTATGAATCCGTGATACTCCGGGCGGCAGGGCCAGAGCGGAGGAAAGAGTTTGAGGTTTGAGTGTGGCATGGGGTCACCTTGCCAACGCCCCACCCCCAGACCTAGCTGCAGCCCCCTCCTCGTCAGAGCTCCGCTGACCTCCACCGCCTAGAGCCCTGGCCGACCTGGTCCCCACTCAGGGCCCTGCAGGGTCCCACCCGCCGCGAAGCGCTCTCGCCCCTCTCCGCCTCCTGGTCTTTCCCCGGCCAGGATGCCGCCAGTCCCCTCCCGGTTGCGCGGGCCGGCCTGGGCCTCAGCCTTCCCGTCTGTGAAACGAGTCTGGCCCCGACTCCCCGCTCCGACCCCTCAGCGCTGGGCGGGGCTCGGGTGCCCGGAGCACCCCCGACGCGGGACCCCCGGGGGCTGGACTCCAAGTCCCAGAAAGCCCTGCGCTTCCCGTGGGTGGGGCCCGGGGCTTCCCCTCCCCGCGCGGTTTGGGAAGCGACCGTAATTTTCAAATTTTGGCGCTGGGCGGACGGGGCGGCTACCGCGGCTGCCCGGCCCCCGCCCCCGGCCCGCCCGCCCGCCGGGCCGCCAAGCCCGAGGTCTGGGCCCCCGCCCCGCGAAGCTGGGCCGCCCCCCTGCGCAGGCTGCCCCCGCCAGGCACGCGGCGGGACGCTCCCGGCCCGTGGCCGGCAGGGGAAACTAAGGCACGAGGCCCCCCAGCGGGGACGGGGCGCAGGCGGGATTCAAACGCAGGACCCGCTGGCCTCGGGGCACAGGAGAGTTGATGGCTGTCTGCTCTGGGGGCAGGGAGGGCGGGTAGGGGGTAGGAGGGTCCGCTCCCGGGACCGTCCAGCCCGCCAGCCTGGTCCCGACCGTTCCATCCACGCCCCTCGCGCCGCCGCGCTCATCCCGCGCGGGGTTTGGCGCCAGATCTTTCAAAAAATCTCAGTCCAACGGCTGCCCCTGGCTCCGGGCCCGGCTCGAGAGCCTGGATCCTGAATTCCGGAGCCTGGATCTGTGGGGCCTGGATTCCGGAGCCTAGGGAAGGGCCGGATTCCGGACCCTGGATGGGGGGCGCCGCATATTCCCGAGCCCGGAGGGGAGTGGAGATCCCGGACCCCTGATTCCAGAGCCTGTGGGCTAAGCGCTAGGAGCTGGGAGCAGAATTCGGGAACCTGGGGGGCTGGAACCTATAATCGCAAGTGGAATCTGGGAGGGAGGGGGGATGCTGAGGCTGACAGGCAGCGCTGGTGATGGCAGTGGAATGCACTAGAGACACGGACGAATATCGACTGAACTTCTCCCCCGAGCCAGGCACGGGAGCTGCGTCAGGGTGACCCCAACAAAGATCCCTGCTCTGGGGCAGATGGCATGGGAGGAGTTGGGAGACAGGACACAGACACACACCACAAATAAGCAAATGACATGGGGTGTGGGAAGGAAATGTGGTAAAAGAGGTGAAGGGGCTTGGGAGCGGGTGGGGCAGGAGGGGTACATTTTTAAACAGGGTGGGTCCCTCTGCAAAAGGCTGGGCCTTGACTTGGAGAAGCTGACACTTGAGCATGGACTCAAAGAGAAGGAGGGGGTCAACCTCGTGAACCGGTGGGGAGAGAGCCTCCCATGGAAAGGGACCAGCCAGCGCTGGTTCTAGGCCTGGAGGAAGCGGAAAGATATGAGAACTTCCAGTGTGTGGAGATGTCCAAAATCGACGTCGGAGCTTCGGAGCCACGATAGTAACGCCAAGACAGAGTTTGGGATAAAGAGGAACAATAGCTTTATTGCATTGCCCAGCAAAGGAGGCTTCAGAAACTGCAGGTCCTCCCCAAGGAAGGTGCTGGGGAGTTTTACAGGGAAATACAGGATCTAGCCCATTTCGGGGTTTTTTGTGTTTGTGCTGTCAGCTTCGTTCATCATGTCTTTAGGGTGGTACCGGGTTCCTGAGACAGAAGGATAGGAAGGGAGGAGGGGAGGTTTGCAAAAGAGAGGAAAAGCTTACTTTAAAATCAAGCTTCGCTGAAGCTTTAGTGAAGCCATTTTATTTTTGTTCAACTTTATGCTTTTAAGTGGTTTCAGAGACGGATATTAAAGAGGGAAACAAATATGTAATCAGACCTTGGTGTATTAGTTATCTGTCGCTGTGTAACAAATAGCCCCAAATGAAGTGGCTTAAAGCAACTCATTTCTTATCTCAGTTTCCATGGCTCAGGAATCCGGGTGCGGCTTAGCTGGGTCCTCTGGCCGAGGCTTCAGAAAAATTTACTTCAAGCTTGCTTGATGGAAGGATTCAAGTCCTTGCAGGGTATAGGCCTGAGAGTATCAGGTTCTTACAAGCTGTTGTCCAAAGGCTGTCTCAAGGCCTCATCACATAACAGAAGATCTGGGTTTTGAACACTTACTGCTTGCTGCAATGGGGAAACAGAAAACAAAAACACCCCAGATATCCGTCAACGGACCCTCCATGTACATTTACACGGTGGAATATCATACAGCGGTGAAGACGAATGCACCTAGGGGACGCCCATCCACAGCATGACCTCCCAGACATAAGATCCTGAAAGAAAGCAAAGTGCAGAAGAATACCATCACTATTCTACCACGTTTGTGAAATTCTAAACCTCGCTAACCCAACCGATCCATCATTTAGGGGTACTACAAATGTGACAGAATTGAAAGGAAAAGCAGACACATGATTACTCAGAAGTCGGCACAGTGGTTTTGTCTGGTGGCACATGAGGACAGGTAGATGGTGGGGGCTTCAATGTGGTGGTCACATTCGATTTTATAAGCCTACTGGTTGTGAAGTCTCTAGTCTATACGCTGGACCTATAAGTTATAGATGCTTGTTCTGTGTTCGATATATTTCACGTTTCAAAAATGAAAACAAAACAAAAAAAAACCCTCCTTGGGACTGCTGTATAGAACAATGTGGTCCCAATAGAAATAGAATATCCTACCAAAAAAGAGAAATGGTAATCGGGGCGCCTGGGTGGCTCAGTCGTTCATTAAGCGTCTGCCTTTGGCTCAGGTCATGATCCCAGGGTCCTGGGATCAAGCCCCGCATCGGGCTCCCTGCTCGGCGGGAAGCCTGCTTCTCCCTCTCCCACTCCCCCTGCTTGTGTTCCCTCTCTCGCTGTGTCTCTCTCTGTTAAATAAATAAAATCCTAAAAAAACAATGGTAATCATGTGACCTCGTAGAGGTGTTAACTAAGCTGCTGTGGTAATTATGTTGCAGTATATAAATGTATCAAATCAATACACATTGTACATCTTATGGTTACACAACACAATGTTATATGTCAAGATATCTCAATTAAAAAAAAAAAAGAATAGTGGCTCTGGGTGGCTCAGTAGGTTAAGCGTCTGCCTTCAGCTCCGGTCGTGATCTCAGGGTCCTAGGATCGAGCCTCACATCAGTCTCCCTGCTCAGTGGGGAGCCTGCTTCTCCCTC